AAAACCGACGCCGCCGTGGGGAAAGAACCGCATAATATCTACCTCGGAGGCCCGACGGAGTCGGCCGACGACATAACCCATTCGTTGTGTCACGCTGATCTCTCCTCAAGTCGCGCGTCGCTTCTCAGCGCCGAAGGAGGACGGACTGACAGACGGACGGACGCTTCTCATATCTCTTTCTCTCTCTTTCTCTATCTCCTCTCTCTCACTCTCTCTAAGTCTCTCTCCCTCTCTCTTCCTTCGCGGGCTCTTACAGCAGATTTCCGATAGCGCTGTCACATCGGCTCGTCGCTTCCTTCAGCTCCGACGACGAACATATAGAGATAGATAATAAGACAGATAAAGTGAAAGCGCTCGGCTTCGACTCCCTGATGACGATGCCACCAGTTATGCCGGGATATATTTGCTAACGTTCGTGCGGCGTTCGTTCGTTTTTTTACCAGATGTGCCGTCGCGGGGCTGAGGGGCGCGAACCCTTTCTCCCTATTTTCTTCCTCCACTCTTTTCTCGCCCTACCCACGTGGTGTGTGTTCGTCGATCACCGTTATTAGATCGCGTCTCCCTCTCTCCAACGCCGTTCCGAAAAGCGCTCGCTCCCGCAGCATTTCGCTATCTTATCGATGCAACTATCCTATCTCCGGCAGCTTTATCTTCGCCTTCTCTCGTATAGGGGAAGAAGGCGGAGCTCGCGATTTCTTTTTGCAGGAATATGATCGATTTAAACGGAAAATTGCAATTTTTATTTGTTTAAAAATATATGGCTTCTTATAAGTCATCGCGCACAGGTTTTTAGATCGACTAGCAGTTGGCATATTTGTATGTCTTTTTGAAGGACTTTCAAAGTCAAAACGACGAGTTTTCTTTTTTTAACAGTGGGAATGCATAATAACATTCCGAACGCCGTTGCTATAAACGTGTCAGAGGAGATTTTCGTTTCTAGATTCAAATGTCAATACGAATGACAGATGAGATATCGAAAAATTATTTGATTTTAAAAATGACAAAATTCTTGTTTAATTACTCCGAAGTTGCTCGCGAATCAGGGGCGCCTCTGGCGGCGCGAAATGAGGAGGCTAATCGTGTTCTCGTAGTTTCCGCACATGTTTTCACGCCATACGACATTTGTCACAGATTAATAGACAGATCGCCAAAGGCCTGCCTAAAGAAGAGACCGCCATCTTCGTGCGATAGACTTTGCCCCTTACCGACACACTTTGCCCCTGGTTCGAGTCCGTGCTAAATTTCGTAGACTTGAACCAAAAGACTTTGCCCCTGGTTCGAGTCCGTGCTAAATTTCGTAGACTCGACCAAAAGACTTTGCCCCTGGTGCAAGTCCAGGCTAAATTCGTTTGACATTACCAACAGACTTTGCCCCTGGTGCGAATCCAGGCTAATTGATCATGAGACCAATTTGAGAGATTTGGCCCCCTGTGTGTGTGTGTGTGTGTGTGTGAGAGAGAGAGAGAGAGAGAGAGAGAGAGAGAGAATATTTTACATATATGCATATATATATATAAATTTATTAAATATAAAAATATATTTTTACACATAAAATGTTTTTTTATTGAAATAATCACGATTTTAAATGTGATATAACACAGTGTTCAAAAATTTTTAATTAAATTTTTTAATTAAATTTTATTAAAGAAAATTACTTGAAATTTTTTACATTAAGAATTTAAAGGCTCCTTATTCTCTTGTAGAAATTTATCACTACGCCAATTAATCACTTATTTTGAGTATTTAAAATACTATAATATACAGTAATTTAAGTATTCGAAATAAAAGTGATTAATTACTCGAAATAAGTGATAAATTGGCGTTACTAGTAATAAATTTCTATAAGGGTTGAAATAAAGTATAAGAGATAAATAGGCTATATGTGAGCCGTATGCGAAATGTGAGATGTAAGACGCATATTGAAATTTAATTTTTCGATATAACTTTCAAAAATGTACACGAGGTACAAAAAATTAGCTTGGACATTTGTAAGACTTAAAATTGGGATTAATTCTCAATTCTATTAATTAAATTTCGATATAACACACCTTACATCCGCGCACGGCTCACATATAGCCCATTTATTAGTGCAATTTTTAAGTTCCTTATTTTTCAAAGTTCACCTTTTTACGTTATCAAATATTTTTGGTACGTTTTCAAGAATTTTATATTTTTACTTACCGCAGTTTCTTATCCAAATGTAAAATCTTTTATCGCAGTCTATAAAAAATTGAAACAATTTACAATTTTATGATATAATATTATTATTATTACAATTTCTATATATATGCACATCTGTCAAATATCGTGATTTATTTCACATTATTATTATCTATTTTAATAAAAAAAAAACAAAAACACTTGCAACAATCAAAAATAAACCGCCTGCCGCGAACGGAAAATGCCAAGAAAGCACGCAATTTCCGCGAATCTCGTAATTTTTTTGAAAAATCAACAATTTCAACGAAATTGTAAATTCTTCAAATCACTGCACAAGTATAATTCACAATAATAATTTTCAGTAACTACGATAAAAAATCGTATACTGAAAACCGCAAACGAAAGTGCAATGGGAGTAAGAGTAAAGTCTGTGATAAAATTAATTGGCAATAGAAAATTAATAATTTTCAAATAGAAAAATTTTGAAATTACCGAGGATTTACAAATAATAAAGTAAAAATATTAAATAATTTATGTTTTCGAATTTTGCTCGCGGAGAGGATCTTTAAAACAAGATTTTTAGAAGAGAGGACCTTTAAAATATAAACAGGCAAAAACGTTGGAAAAATTAAAGCGCGCGTTTAAACAGATAAACGCAATGAAATAAATACGCAATTGTTTTTACTTATCGCTGTAAGCTCACAAGCTTCTGACGTGCTATACACTTTTATATAATATATACAAGGTGTCCGGTAACTAACGGACCAATGATTAAGGGCGGATTCTCTGGCCAATTTGGAGACGATTTTTCCTTAGCAAAAATGTTGAGAAGTCAATAATTTTCGAGTTATAAGCGATTGAAAAAAATAGGTTTTTTGAAAACTAAACGTTTTGGAGTTAAAAGTCTAACATAATTACATTCTTCAGTTAATTTCAGGTAGAGTTTACTATAATAAAATTTTAATTTAAGGCTTAGTTATAAAGATACATAATGACAAAGATTGGAAAGTTGTAAAAAATGATGACCTTTTTCGACATTTTCGCTGAGGAAAAATCGTTCCCAAATTGACCAAAGAATCCATTTGTAATCATTGGTCTGTTAGTTACCGGACACCCTGTATATTGGACACGAGTTTCGTTTGTTTCAGATTCTCGAGAGTTGAAGTAGGAACATACGAGTATCATATATCGTTTGTGACTTGCCGAATGAAAGCAAGACAGAGAGCGAACGAGATGATGAGCTTAATAGCTCATAATGTTATAAATAAATAAATAAAAAATTATAACCTGACCTACTAGTTATTGAATCTTTTTTTAATAAAATGTTTCATTATTATTATCATCTAAGTCTAAGTCGTTTAATTACTTTTTAGTTTTTTAATAATTAATTTAATTTATTCTAGTCATTTTTATATGAGAAAAATAATATCACGTATACGTTTTATAATGAATTAATATATTTCGGGAACCGAATTATATATTCTTAATAATATAAAAGTGTTCAAAAATTATATTTGACTTTTAATTTTAATTATTTTATAGCAAAGAGTTCCGAAATCTCTTACACACATAATGGGGATTTTTTTCATCCATATAATTCGCAATTAAGTATATATGTTAATTATTAATTTTAATAAAATAAAAATTAAAATTAAAGGTCAAATATAATTTTTAAACACAAATATATTAAATTAATTATAAAACGTATACCCATGATAGTATTTTTCTCGTACAAAAATAATTAGAGTAAATTAAATTAATCATAAAAGATTAAAAATTAATTAAAGAATTTAAACTTATATTTTATATAATAATAATAAAACATTTTATTACGTCAAACCGTCGTGAAATAATTAAATAAAATTTGCTAGTTACGTCAAAGTCAAGTTTTCTAAGCTTATAAAACATTTTATTAAAAAACAGATTCAATAAATATAAGTACATGTTATATATATACTTATATTTATTGAATCTGTTTTTTTTATAAAATGTTTTATTATTATCATATTTTAATTTTTTTATGAGTAATTTAATTTGTTCTAGTTATTTTTGTACGAGAAAAATACTATCACGGGTATACGTTTTATAACGAATTAAATATATTTATGTTCAAAAATTATATTTGACCTTTAATTTTAATTTTGTATTTTATTAAAATTAATAATTAACATATATACTTAATTGCGAATTATATGGATGAACAAAATCCCTATTATGTGTGTAAGAGATTTCGGAACTCTTTGCTAAAATAATTAAAATTAAAAGTCAAATATAATTTTTGAACACTTTTATATTATTAAAAATATATAATTCGACTCTCGAAATATATTAATTCATTATAAAACGTATACGTATTAGTATTTTTCACATATTAAAATGATTAGAATAAATTAAATTAATTATTAAAAAACTAAAAATTAATTAAACGACTTAGACTTAGATGATAATAATAATGAAACATTTATTAAAAAATAATTATAATAGGTCAGGTTAATATTTTATTTATTTATTTATTTATAACATCATAAAATTCTGTCCTTTCCGAAATACGCGAACGCTACGAAAAGATAAATCTCGTACATGCCGCCGGACGAGTTCATGAGCATGAGACGCTCTTATCTTGGGAACGTATTAATAGTTACTGCATTGACCACTACTACGATATGGCGCTGAAATCAGTGAGAAATGCTGGTCTCTCCTTCATCCAGACCTTTGGCGATCTGTCTATTAATCTGTGATTTGGATGCGCGTTGCTAGGCATCTGTGGAACCTGGTAAAGAGGAAAAAAAATTAAGAATCAGAAGCAATGATCATCCCCGTGCGATGCTTCACCTGCGGAAAGGTGATAGGCAACAAGTGGGAGGCTTATCTTGGACTTCTTCAGGCGGAATACACGGAAGGGTAAAGTTTTTTCACCTCGAAATCATCTCTAACCTCGAATGTGAATTGTTAATTTTCTTACTATGCAGCACGTTGTTCTCGACAATCGTCCGCTTTATTTTAAATTAATTCAATTTTTAAATAAAATTGAAGAATTTTTAATAAAATATTTTTATTAAATAAATTTTAAATTAATTTAAATTAAATTTATTTTTAAAAAGTTTATTTAAAATTTTAATATAAATACATTTTTATTTAAGAATTTAATAATTTTAATAATTTTAAGTGTATATTAAATCTTATAAGATGAAAGAATTAGATAAATTAATAGAGATGACATGTGTGTTATAGAGATGCCTTGGATGCGCTTGGTCTCAAGAGATATTGCTGCCGCAGGATGCTGCTTGGGCACGTAGATGATTGAGAAGTTACTTAATTATGCACCTTTAGAGAAGTAACCATTAGGTATTTAACATTGATACATTTTTATATTTAATGCTTGTAATACCAAAATATAGTATTTTTATGTATCATGTAAGTTATTAAAATGACTAATTTATGATCTTGCTCTTAAGATCTTATTATAAGATGTAAAACAACAACGTTTACTAATAAACTACTTGTATAATGTTATGTTAAAAAAAAATAAAAAGAACTAAAGTTTTATTTACACTTAAATTGATTTTGTTTTAATCTTATGCGATTTATGACAAAATGCAATTACAATATAATTACATGTAAGACAAAGAATAGAAAATAAGTTGAAGGGCAGAGCTCTCTTTACAAAATGTAAAACTATTTTTATTTTATAACTTCAACCAACGCCATGTGTTACAAATTTCTGTTCTTATAAATGGTAAAAATTTTATTTATACAAACATTTGTCTATGCTCAGAAAAGTCGGAGCATCATATATTCTGTGTGTGTATAATTAGTTCTCAAAAGCATATTTCAATGTTTATTTTAAATGCAATGTTGGAAGACCGCCTGACTATGATTGAGCAATGTTTCTTTTATACTGCAGGTGGCACGCATTCATTTCACACATCAGAATCTTTAATTAATGTTTCTCGGAATGCGTTTTTAAATCTTTGATTCAATTACCTTTTTTTTTGTAAAAATATATTTTCTCTAATATAATATTAAAAATGTATTGGCTCAGATATAGTGTCATTATAATTTTATAACAAATTTAATAAAAATATATTTGGCGTTTTTATTTTACTTTTTTATCAAAATAACTTTCTGTAAAAGACAAGATTATGGAAATAATCTTTCCATGCATCGATAAATTACAATTAGATCTCTCTAATTACAATTTTGTATAAATGCATAATATCAAAAGTTTTTGTTTTATATCGTGGAATTAAATAGTGAGAGGCATTATTTCGATAATATACAAATTATTTTCTAAAAAAAAGCTTTGCGTTCCTTAATTCATTCATGTTTCGCAGCGGATTTTCTCCAGCTAAGTGAATACTGCCATTATTCCTAAATCTACATTTGCTTATCATTTCTGTCTTACATAACATACAGTCGTACATTATTATTTTAGTCGAGTAAAATTTTCTAGATACATTTTGCCGGAGAATGTCAAGATTCTAATAATAAGAGACAATCTGATTAATTATAATTACAGCTTAAATCCATCATTTCTGCTTAAAACTTCAATGACATCCGTCCGCGAGCGTGATTTGATTTATACATATATTTATACATATATGTATGTACGTATATTATATATATATATATATATAGATATATATATATATATATATATATATATATATATATATATATAGATTTATTCTAAATTATCTTTAGTCGTGTGGAGGGAGCAGATCTAAAAGATATGGTAGAAAAATTCGTCGTATACCCGCTAAAATCATTTGCACTAAATAAAAATGAAAAGTATTCTTTCCATCAAGCATACAATTTTACAATGTCCGTTATGGCGCTGCGCGATCCAAATATCAGTGCCATCACACCTATCACGCATATAATTACATTCTTTAAGGCCACCCAATTTCCCGGCCCGAAGCCGACGTCCCAGTAAGTCACCGTCTCGATGAACACCGGAATGAGGAGGCCCAAAATGGAGAAGCAAAAGGCACCGATCAGTCCAATGAACGGTTCGATAGTCGGCACTGCTATCGCGAGAAGAACTGCAAAACGATTATCCCATATTACATCGATTCATAATATCTTATAGACATATTTCGAAAAACAGGATAGGTCTCCAATACCTGAGCCGCACACTAGCACCGTCCTCATGATGTAATTAGCTAACAGCGGTTTCTTCTCGAAGCGATGTTTTATAAAGGTCCACCCAATGTCGAGGCACACGTAGAACTGTAGGCCGAAAGTGCAGAAAACAGCCAGAGCAATCAGGATCTTCACCACTTGAGCCGCTCTGTAAAGAACATTGACCACAAAAAATGATATATAAAATTAGCTGATGTTTGCATGCTCAATTCTCAATCATAACTTGACGTCTTACATTTCTTCCGTAGGTAGATTAAGGGTGATGCTACCCATCGTCTCGTCCCCATACTTGACGTATCCAAGGAATCCAAGGAAAATGTACACAAGCGTGACCCCGGACATCCCCTTATTGAGAACTCCGCAGATTCCCACAAAGTGCTGCGGCGTCTTCATACTGTTCTCCAGAGGCATGACTACGCCGATCGCCTCCATAGCGAAGATGGTGATGCTGAAGAACTGCGGGAAGCTCTCGATCGTCCCTACCAGCGGTACGGAAGACAACGGCGGCATATCCCATACGAGATAGTAAAACGTTATACCAGTCCGGTGCCCATGAAGATGTTTGCCACCATAGAAACCGGCGCCAGGTATTTCAAATCGGGCACCCAACTGAGCAGAATCATCGGTATCAACAAATAGGTCGTGATCAACCGGATGCTGTATTCGCCGGCGTCGTTGTCTTGATAGTGCTCGATGATCTGTTTGAAATTGGCGGCCACGATCACCGCGTACACGCTGCAGGTGCCGAAGTACGTGATAAACAGACTGATTTGAATGAGATGTCTGTAAAGAAGGCGGAAAGCGAGTTCAGCTTTAGTAGAAGGTTACTTTAGCAAAATTAACCGTTTAAAAGTCTTTTCATTTGAAAGACTTAATACCTGGAAGGTTTCGCGAACTTCCTCGCCCACTGAGGTCCCAACTCGAAAGCCGTCTCGGCCACCTCGGCGAATCCCATTTCCGTCTTTCGGGTTTTGTAGTAAAGCACGTGCGCGCATTTGACCTGGAAACGAAATTATCAATATTTATATATACTAGCTTTTCGGACCGCGCTTCGCGCGGTCCTCAAAGCCAGCCTTTCTATTCGGACCGCGCTTTGCGCGGTCCTCATATAGTCTATATTAAATCCGTTTTAACACAAAAAATTAATTCTTTTTTGTATTACCGCGAACTACTTCCACATTTGTTGTTCGACTTTCACGAAATTTATACCAAAATAAATGTTTAAATTTTTTTGTGGATGACTACTATGTTATCTATTTCTTTCTCCCAGATATTTTATTTTCTTTTTTAAGACACGCTTTCTCTCTCTCTCAAAACACACGCGCTCCTCTCTCTCTCTTTAAGACACATGCTCTCTCTCTTCTTATCTCTCTCCCTCCCTCTTTCTTAAGACACACGCTCTCTCTCTCTCTCTCTCTCTCTCTCTCTCTCTCTCTCTCTCTTCTCTCTCTCTCTCTTCTCTCTCTCTCTCTGTGTATGTGTGTGGGTTTTTAAGTCATTTCACCTACGCACTTCACCCATGACAATGACATTGTGCATATTGAGAACGGATTTTTAAAAATTGGTACCAAAATGTTGTAAATTTTGGCGGCGACGATGGTTTTTCAATGTTACACCTCCACCCACACGCATGCGCATTTATGGACCAATTTTCACGAATTATACCAAATGTTGCAATTTTTCAGTTGCGAAACCTGCTAGCACGGTTTTATGACAGTTTTTAAAAATTTAACCACGTTTGCCGCATCCACGCATTCAGCATTTATTCACATACGCTTTTGAATTTTGTAGTTAAATTTTGTTGGAGATGGCTACTAAATGATTTTTATGGAATTGTGGTTTTCCTTTTATCCACCACGCACATCAGCACATTCACATTTACCGCGCATTTATTGACTTGGTCACACCAAGAAGTAATTTTACAAAATTTTGTAATGTATTTGTGATTATGCAAAACTGTGTAAATAAACCTTTAATTTGTTTGCAATTTTCATATGAAATTAGTAACCAAAATGTTGCAAATTTTTGCAATCACAACATGTACAAATTATTTAAAATTACTTGATTTGGTGAGGACCAAGTCAATTATGCGTATGCACAGCAAAATTATGACCATGATGAATAGGATGATAGAAATGTTAAAATCATAGTAGCCATCCCAACAAACTTGAGTACAAATTTCGAAAAAGTCTGTGAATAAATGTGAATGCGTGGTGAATGCGTGGGTGGGATAAAATAAAAACCCACAGCAGCTTTATTCAAATCCGCACCCACAAAGTGTACCGTTTCAAAATATTGGTCCATAAATGCTACGCCGCGGATGAATGCGTGGATGGAGGTGTAACAATTGAAAAACCACGATCGTCGCCATCCAAAAATTTGCAAGATTTTGGTACCAATTTTAAAAATCGGATATAAATATACGATTGCCGGTGCCCATGAAGGGTTTGTAAACATAAAAATAAACCAGTAGTTTCTCAAAAATTTGCAACATTTTGGTACTAATTTCGTGAAAATTGGTCCAAAATGCGCATGCGCGTGGTGGATGCTGGGTGGGGTGGGTGGTGGGTGGGGTGTAACACTTAAAAACCGCATCGTCGTTATTTCCAAAAATTTGCAACATTTTGATACCATGTTTTGAAATATTAAAAAGATTAAACATACCCTCTTAGAAAAATTAAAATTAAAAACCCCACAGCAGCCACCCCAAAAATTTGCAACATTTTGGTACCAGTTTCAACGAATATCCGGTCAAATGCGGAAGTAGTCTCGGTTTATACATACAGACAGACATATATATAGATAATATATATATATATATATATATACTATATATATATATATATTATTTATATATTAAATTATTATCTCTTAACAACGCGCTATTGTTATATCGAGAAAGCTATCTCCGCTAGCACATAAGTATATAAACACGCATCTTATCGTCTGTCAGAAATCCATCAAGCATAAATTTTACAATGTCCGTTATGGGCTCGGATCCAAATATCAGTGCCATCACACCTATCACGCATATAATTAATTCTTTAAGGCCACCCTTTCCCGGTCCGAAGCCGACATCCATAAGTCACCGTCTCGATGAACACCGGAATGAGGAGGCCCAAAATGGAGAACAGAAGGCACCGATCAGTCCAATGAACGGTTCAATGTCGGCACTGCTATCGCGAGAAGAACTGCAAAACGATTATCCCATATTACATCGATTCATAATATCTTATAGACATATTTCGAAAAACAGGATAGGTCTCCAATACCTGAGCACACTGCATATCCTCATGATTTAATTAGCTAACAGCGGTTTCTTTTGAAGCGATGTTTTATAAAGGTCCACCCAATGCGAGGCACACGTAGAATGTACAAATTGCAAAAATCAGCCAGAGCAATCAGGATCTTCACCACTTGAGCCGCTTGTAAAGAACATTGACCACAAAAAATTATATATAAAATTAGCTGATGTTTGTATGCTCAATTCTCAATCATAACTTGACGTCTTACATTTCTTCGTAGGTAGATTAAGGGTGATGCTACCCATCGTCTCGTCCCCATACTTGACGTATCCAAGGAACCAAGGAAAAATGTACACAAGCGTGACCCCGGAAAATCCCCTTATTGATGAACTCCGGATTCCACAAAGTGCTGCGGCGTCTTCATACTGTCTCCAGAGGCATGACTACGCCGATCGCCTCCATAGCGAAGATGGTGATGCTGAAGAATTGCGGGAAGCTCTCATCGTCCCTACCAACGGTACGGAAGACAACGGCGGCATATCTGTGAAGAAAGTAGAACGTTATCAGTGGGTGCCCATGAAGATGTTTGCCACATAGAAGCCGGCTCAGGTATTTGCAACATCGGGTACCAATTTCGCAAAATATCGGTATCAACAAATAGGCCGTGATCAACCGGATGCTGTATTCCCGGCGTCGTTGTCTTAAAAGTGCTCGATGATCTGTTTAAAAATTGGCGGCCACGATCATTGCGTACACGGTGCAGGTGCCGAAGTACGTGATAAACAGACTGATTTGAATGAGATGTCTGTAAAAAGGCATAAAGCGCAGTTCAGCTTTAGTAGAAGGTTGTTTTAGCAAAATTAACCGTTTAAAAGTCTTTTCATTTGAAAGACTTAATACCTGGAAGGTTTCGCGAACTTCCTCCCCCACTGAGGTAAAAAACTCGAAAGCCGTCTCGGCCACCTCGGCGAATCCCATTTCCGTCTTTCGAATATCGGTCCACAAATGCAAGTAGTTCGCGCATACATACAGACAAACGGTGCTTATCATATATTTATATATATATATATATATATATATATATATATATATATATGTATATTATTTATATATTAAATTATTATCTCTTACACAACGGCGCTATTGTTATATTCGAGAAAGCATATCTCCGGCGATAGCACATAAGTATATAAACACGCATCTTTATCTGTCTGTCAGAAATACTCACCAGAATATACGCGCAGTGCGTGCAAACGAAGGCTACGAGTATCGTAGCAAAGATACCCAGGAGCAATCCGGCACTTTTGAATGCTATAGGCATAGCCAGGATCCCGCTGCCGAGGGAGGCCTTCAATAAGTGCGTCAATGTATCGCAGTCCCTGAAAGTATCATCATCTATCGGTTACACACATGTCAATTGCATAATTCCTCATCTCGATGATCAATGTCGAAAAAAACATTATAGCTCTCTAAGATGGAATTACACGTACTTCCTCGCATCACGCACGTTTCAATTGCAAATCTCTTTATTGGAGTATTAATAATCGTATTATCGAACTATTAAAGAGGCGAAATATTTAACGTGTATCGCAATATGTGCTTTATTCATGACGGCAATAATGCAAATAAGTCATCTAAGACAATTGTAATGCGGATGAATATATGAATAAATAATAAATGCGCGTAAACGTATAAGTCATAGGTTGGATTGAAATAATCAACCAAAGTTGAATGGAATTTTATGCTTATAACATATTTCTTAATTATGTTTCGATCTAATTTTATAACGTAGGATTAGATACAAACGAGATTTATATTTTTATTGCTAGGAATTATTATGTGACATTTTATTAGTCTTCGAAAATATATTACTTTGGAATATGCAAAGACGGAATTTATTCTATACACATTTGAATACAAAATATTTAAAACCGTAACGAGAAAAACAATCTATGATGCGCAAAGGAATAGAATTTTATGTCAATTTTTTACATCCAATTAATCCAAAAATAAATTACGTCTGAGCAAAAAGAATGAGATTTCTCTATTCTTACTACTTATACGATATTTTTTAATTCTTCGAATATATATAATTTTGAATATACGAAGACGAGGCAATTTATGTTAAGCGATCAAAAAAAATGTTTCTTACGTCGTCGGATTGTCAACTTTGCGTTCTCCAAAGGGGTCAAAACTCTTCTCATCAGGTATTGCGGCTTCGACGTCTTTTGGAGCAACTTGTACTTTATATCTGAAACACAAAAATGCGATTAATGAAACAGATATCCAGGTACCCAAAGAAACTTTAAATGGGTCTTTGTATTCGAAAAATAAAATTTAATGAGAAAAAATTGTTTGATGCCCACCATTAAAAAAAATTGGTACTCGTACATTGAATGAATGGAAAAATTTAAATAAATTTATTAAAAAATAATTTATTTAAAAAATTATTTATGAAAAATTTTAATAATTTTATGAAAGAATTAATCGTATAAAATGTATTTTTCTTCCGAAGCGAATCTTACTTGGCAGATAGGACTCCATCCTTGAGATTGGATCCATCCTGAGGCAGGAAGGTATCCAACTCCGTCGGCGCTTTGTCGTTTTCCAAAGTCTAAAAAAAAACGAACGCAAATAAGGAAACGTAATCGCGAATCTCGCAACAAATGCGCTTATTCGACGATAGCGCAAGATCATTTATGACACGGATATAGATGTGAATAAATAATTAAGTGCGCGCAAACAAGTGTCGTAAATGTTGAAACTCACCATCGTGGCTTACACACTGTTGTTGATATATGTTATCTCGTGCTTCTGTTACCTGAAAAACATATGTGCAAGTGAGTTGAATGAGATTCTTCGCTTATCATATTGTGGTATTATTATCTTACTTAACAAAAAAAAATACAATAGAGCAGCATTCATGAGAAAGCAACGAGGAGAATCAAACTCGACAAAGGAATCCTTATACATATTTTATCACTTTTTTCGCTTATAATTTATGTTCCGATGATTGAGCGGTCTCTCGATAATATGATAAGCCCGAATTCCCCTCGATATTTTTGTCGGACAAGAGAGACGACTTTAATTAAATTCGTATTTTCTGGATGACTTTCTCGTATTAAAATTAGCTATATCAAAATGAGATGAAAATATCTTATTGTTAGATAAGATGAACATGATTTTGTTTCAAATATATCTAGATAACAGGTAAAAAAATGCGTGGTTCATCTAGATAACTTCCAGATAACATTATTTTTAATATATATATATATATATATATATATATATATATTTATATTTATATTATTAAAACAAATGTAAATTATAGAAGAGATAAAAATGTATTTAGAAATAAAAATTATATACTTTTATTTCTAAGTTTTTATTGCTTAAGTATTTTTATGCGCTCTGTCTCTAAATCAAATTATCTGGATATTATTCTAAATAATTGAGTAAAAATAACACTTTTTTCATCTAACAATAAGATGCAGATATATACATATTTTTATTTTAAAAATAAAATGATGCCAAAACTTCATCTAGATGATCATCTACGTATAATTTTATTTAGATAACGGCAAATATTGCGTGTGGCAAATGTAAAACAAGCTTATCGAAGACCTACAATCGAGACATATCGTTTTCGCATAGCTTTCGAAACGAAGATACAGTAAATCGATGTGGAAACTTATTATTACGCAAAATCGCTATGATTTATCTCAATCTCGCGCTTTTTCAGACTCAGATGCATCGATTTATTGCAATTCGCCGATGCATGCAAATAACACATATCTCCGACTTATACTTATCATTCCATAGAAACTTTTACTATTATTTTCTTAGATTATGTGAGATATTCTAAAAAAAGCAAAGAAAGATGTTATTACGAACATTAGTGTCCTCGTTAACGTAACATCCTTATTTAAATGATGGCCTTATTTACAATTTTGACCGCGATGTAAAAATACATTATATATGTCTTTATTTATGCGGTTCGATCGCGTTGACAAAAAAATATAAAAAAGAATAATAATATATGTATCTTGCTCTGCGTCATATTTTCCGCTCTTGGCGCTGCTTCTTTGACACTTATTACGACACAAAATCAGATCAATTCAATCCTACGAGATTGCATTATGTGCAGCTTCGCAACAAAAGAACCTTAACGTTCTTGCCACTTCCGGGTTCACGAACTCGATCTTACACTCGAACAAAGTAAACGAACTATCGTGTTTATTTTGCGTAGGTTTAGATAAGCGCATTATTATCATATTTAATTATATTCAGAACAATAAAAGCCCTAGGGGAAAAATATGTGTGAAAAAATGTTGCTCTGAAAATCCTGTCGCATCCTATTTTATTTTAAAACATAAAATAATTTTTAAAATAATTTAATAAAATAATTATTTAATAAAATAAATTAATTATTTAATAAAATAATTATATATATTTAATAAAATAAATTAATTATTTAATAAAATTTAGTAAAATAATTATATATTTTAATAAAATAATTTTAAAAATAATAATTAAAAAATAAATAAGAGACGCGATGAAGGAGTCATAGATTTTTTCAGCTTTTTCATATACTTTTTCTACACTTGTACCATTTTTCGAGTAACAGTATATATAGTATCCTGTAACGAGTCAAATTACGTGAGTTTTGCCTATCATAAATTTAAGGTCAATATCAGGGAAAAAGAACCTTTCTCAAGTTTTTTTCGTCTAAAATTTCCAAGGGTCGCTATAAGAAGTCTAAAGTCACAAAACACTCGGTTGAAATTTTTATAGTGTATCGGAAATCGCTGAAAATATTATTAAAAGAAAAAAATTAGAATTATAAATATATTTTATTATATTAAAAACATTTTTTTCGTAAATCGTACATGTTTCTCGTTGGATTCGAGAACCTAAGAGAGTTTTACACCAAGGAGATAAAAAACATCTATTCACAGCTTAGCAAGATGATAAAATTTTGCTCACATACCAAAGTTTACATAAGCGTAAAATGCTAAACAATATTTATAGTAAATGCATATTTCAACATATATGTTCAAGTTTTTCGAGCTGATATTTTTCAAATTTACATCTTACAAAATATTCGCTGAATCATTTATCACAATGTGTTGATTGTAATTTGCAATAGCAATAATTTTTAATTGTCAGATGAAGAGCGAATTAAGAATTAAAAGAGCGAAAAAATTGATCATTGCCGTTATCTTGCCAAATGTTAGATTTGAAAAATTCTGACAAGTCAATAAAGAACAAATACGTTGAAATATTATTCACGGATATCGGAAAACGTGAAAATTGACAAGTCAATCTTTGCTTTGATACTATTTCGAGATCGACCATACGCATCCATCATTTTCGCTATTACAGAATATTTTATTACAATTGATATTTTCACTGTTTATTATATTAAGATTTACTGGAGTAACTACTTAACTAAATAAATTCTGTTTAGATAAAATTCTATTTAAGTGGCGAACTATTACAACTATCAGCAGATAAATAATTTTATTTTTCCATAGTTGATAAAAATTATCTTTTGAAAAAAATTATTAAAATCTGAAGAGACTAATCAGCTTTATAAGCATACAGTACAAAATATTATGAATGTTTTCAAAAAATATTTTAAATATTTCTATAAAATATTGCATAAAAACATTTTAAAATGGTTTTAGGAATATTTTAAAATTATTAAAAAAATTTTTGTGATAACATTTTTTAGAATATTTAAAAAAACTTTTAAAAATATTTATAAAAAAATGTTCTTTATCGCTCATTGTCAGATATTTTCTTAAATATTTGATACATATTTTTGAAATATTAGTTTAAATCTATATTCAAAAATATTTCTGCAAATATTTTTTAAACATGAAAAAGCAGACATAAAAACATTTTTAAAATATTTTTGAGAATTATTTTATCTTTTAAGAAATATTTTTAAAAAATTCTACAAATATTTTGTGCTGTATGGGAATACAGTGTCGATTATTTAATAAAATAAATAAAAATTAATAAAATAAAATAAAAATAAAATAAAAATAAATAAAAATTAATAAAAGTTACGTCAATATTGTGTATTTACATTGACATAAAATAGCATTTAAAAACTAGCGACAGATAATCGAATGTGCGAAATAATTGTTGATCGATGTGTGCGAAGAAATCGATAGAATTCTTGGCCTTTCAACGTAGGCAGAATAGAAAGCTTCAAGTTGTAGGACAAGGTTTACGATCTAACTGACACATGTTGTCGATTAGATATCGGTCATTGCCTGTTTGTATATCTATACTGATGTGATAATGTGTATATCGATCAAGAATTCGTCGTTTTACGGGTGGTCTGACATAGGAGAGAGCTCGAGAAAGAAATTTACGAGTACAATCAGATGAATCGTCGAGTAAAATAAGTGACTAAGTGGCTTAAGTAATAAATTTGCTCAATTAGCGTGGCTCAGTAATTGATTCTTATAATTGCCGCGAACTAAATAATAACTACTATATTTGCTAATCAATTTGTCCCGATTAATTTTCATAGCTAATTCTATAATCAAATTTAACTTCCTATTACGATAAATCTTGAATCTATCGGATCAAAACTGATCTGATCTCTTTCGCAGAAAATATTAAAAATTGCAATTAAGATATTGTGAATTTAACTATTGTATGTACACTAATCAATTTATTCCGATTAATTTTCACAGCTATAATTTTATGACAAAATTATTTATTATTAAATTTTAACTTAATTATTAATTGTGATTAATCCTGAATCTATATGATCAAAACTGATCTAATCTCTTTCGTAGAAAGTGTCAAAAAATTACAATTAATATTATATTAATTTCGAAGGCAAACATAGTCCAACTAATTAATTTGTTCTGATTAATCTTCATAGTTATCTTGATTAGGAAATAATAACCAAAATATGCATTTTATGGATTTTAACTGAACGTACAGATTGATTATCACTTACATATTTATTAGTTAGTTTGTCTTATCTAATTTTGACTAGTTATTAGTCAGAAAATATAAATAAACGCAGAATATTATAGATTTTGGCTAAGCATAAATTATTTATTATTTAGTTTAAAAATATTAAGATAAAATCTTATTTAGATATTGTTAAGTACTAATCAGTGCATAGATAATTTTATTTGTTAATAGTCAACGCGTTAAAAAAATCATTTTCTGGAATAGCCAAAAATAAAGAAAAATAAATGTTTAATAGTTGATGTGTTTAAAAAATAAAATTTTAATAGCTTGTCTTAAAAAAACATTTTCTGAACAAAAAATAATCGGAAAATTTTTTTAACATAGCGTCAGCTGTTAATTATTTTTTATTTTTTCAAATAACCAACATTGTAAAAATTAATTGATCAATCAATCCATCCATTTGGCCTAATTGGTTTCTAATCATTTTTTTCAGAAAATACTTTTTTAACACAGTACCAGCTATCGAAAAATTAAATTATCTGATTATAAAATAGTCAGCCACCTAAATTTTATCTAAACAGAAAATTTTTTACTCAATCGTTAAACAGTTATTATCTAGGAAATTCAACATAATAAAAATTGGGCAGTTTTTGACTTATGTAATCAGTTTTCCTCATTTTTACACAGACATAATCTGTCCTTGTCAAGTCTTTGAGAAGGAAATTAATTTTGAGTAGTTTCTAGTCATTTTTCAGGAAATGTTTTTAACACAGTGTCAATTATTGAAAAATAAAATTATCTAGGTACTGATTATAATAGTCAGCCATGTAAATTTTATCTAAACAGAATTTTTTACTCGCATATTGTCAGTCGTTGAAATTACTATCTGGTAAATCCAATATAATTCCAATAAAAATTCGTCAGTTTTTACTTGTAATCGGTTTTTCCTCGACACCTTTTTATTCAGAGATGAATCTGTCCTCATTAAATTTTAGGAGAAAATATTAATTTTGATAAATAGAAAAGAAAGAACCTTTCTGAATCGCAAATTAAAATTGTCTATATATTTATTCTACATGTGTCCTGCTGTGTTTATCGCTCAAGTATAGCAGAAAAATATATGACTCCGTTATGCAAAACCGCAAAAAATCTAAGGTCACGTTCTCACATGATGTCCGTATACTTAATATGTAATCGCCACGTCATAAGCAACATTGGATTATTTTTTATAATTAAAATATAACATACACATATATAGCATATATAAAAAATATATTTGCTATATTTTATTATACACACATATATATATATATATATATATATATATATATTGTGTATATATATATATATATGCTATATTTTGATTTACGATAATCAATATTGCGTAATGTAGAGCTATATATGCATTATTATAAACATTTAAAATAACACTAAAATAATATTAATAAAATAATCCTTTTTAGAAATGAAAAACACACATGGAATGAGAGATAAGACAAACACTTTGTACTTTGAATGACTGAAAATAATCAAGATAAGAGAGACTATTCAAACATATTTTGTAATAATTGTTGCATAAACGTGATAATATTTTTCGTGGAACGCGCATTAAACACAATCTATACGTTACGATAACTGAAAATGAGACGGATAATGTATATACTTAAATAAAGAAGTCAATTCACATAATTCAGCAGAGCAAATATTAATTTGCAAATAATATCGTTCAGTGAACGTAAGTTGACGTGGCAACAATCTATCTATCTTATCGCACAAGTTCCCGTTTCGTTTAGAACTTCATGCTCGACTAGTCTATATGTCTTTCGATTCTACTATATGCTGCATTAAAGACGATAAGCCAAGATTAGGCGGATTTAGGCTGAAAGGGGAAAACGAATTGAACTAAGAATTCGGAATTTGGCTGTCGACCAACAAAACGCGATGATTCAGTATCGAATGTCTGTACATGTATATAGTCGATTATTGCCCGAACACGAGAAGGTACACTGTAAAAAAATATGTAATATGTAATATATTACATATTACATATATTACACATTACATATTACACATATTACATATTACACATATTACACATTACATATTACACATATTACATATATTACATATTACACAAAAATATGTAAAATTACATAAATAATAAATGTAAAATTACACGATAAATAATAGAAATGGTTCTATTATTTATCATGTAATTTTACATTTATTATTTATGTAATTTTACATACTTTTAACGTAATTTTACATATTTTTTTACAGTGTATACTTGTACAAGTAACGTATAGCAGGATGCAGCTATGTATAAAGAAAGATCAAATTCGGGGTACTTGAAATTGACCAGTCATCCTTTGCGTTGCAATAAAATTAAAATAAAGGACACCTTTAAACTTGAATTTTATCTTAAGATATGCCAGAATGACAAGATACGACGAGGAAAACTATGAGAAGCACATGTAAGAAGATTTAGACGAGATGATATATCTAAGAATATACTAAAGATACCTGGGGGACTAAATATATCCTCGAACGCCGATTTCATGACATTTCCGAGATACTTAGATACAAAAAGGACACGTGAAAATTCAACAGGAAATGCAGAAGCGTCTAAGCTTTTTCCCTCTCTGATGCAAAAAAAAATGATATCAGTCCTAAATTTGCAAAATGTCAAGTTAGTACATTTTTTCCCTTTTTTAAACACTTTTCGAATCGATAGAGGACCGGAATAATGTGTCGCCGATATAGTATTTCACATATCGAAGAATGTGTTAACTCATGACTGACGACTGCAAGATATCCGAATAACAAAGGGAATTTTAAACAATATGATACAATTTACATTTCAATTAAGAGTATAGAGATGAAATACGATTCTTCTTCGTGAAAATGAGAGACTTAAATGTGCAACTTGCTGAAAAACGTATTAAAACATATACAAATAATTTGTGCCTCCGGTGCATAAATGAAAATCATCTGTGCCAGCAAGGAAAGTTTCGATTTTTAATTAAATTTTCAATCATGGAAAAGCATTTATTATTTTATTCGAGCAAAAGCAAAGGGTGCGCAAAAATGATGAACGACGTTTAGAGTTTATTAATTGTTCTCCTTTAAGTTTATTAATTGTTCCCTTTAAGTTTATTAATTGTTCCAAAAAGAATACACGTGTATGCGTAATGTTCTTTTTTGAATAATTAATGAATTTAATATCGACAAGATTTAGTTGTTTGCTAGCTCAGGTAGCAAGCATATGTCATTTTGACGTCATTGTAGACATCTGTTTGACGTCTAATGACGTTTAATGACGTCAGTTTGCTATCTGGGGAGCTAACAAGCAACTAAATCTTGTCGGGTCCTATTGCTCCTATTTTTATTGCTTTTATCGGAGCCTTTGATTGTATTATAATTTATCCAGCTGTTTTTCTAATAAAGTGTAGGACCAAAAGTGCGGACTCTATCGGTGCTCATCCGAAATATCGGCAAGCAGTTACATCATGCAAATATATTCGCGCGCGATAAGAAGACCGTCTTGCTTGGCCATACAAGTCGCGCTTAAGCGACTCCACGTGGTCTCCCTCTCTTTCTTGAATGAACAATTAATATAATATTAATAATTCCGAAATCGTACCATTCCGTGCAGTTGATTATTTTTAGACCTGATCTAGAAGACGTTCGAGAGAAAATTGACTGATGATTTTCGATGAATAATCTTATTTCAATCAATCAAGATATCTAACATATTATATAACACTGATAATATTAATGATAATAGTAATTTTCCGTAACACGTTGCAAGAAAATAATAATAACGAGGAAAATCATTTATATGATGACGCTATGTAATATAATGCAACATCGTGAACAGTTGAGAATAAGCTCGTATATAAAGAATAAGGAATTTTCTTATCGGAGAAGAAAACTGTGTTTAGGATGCCAAAATTTCCGTACGCGATTTTTTTTTTTTTTTTTTGCTCCGATTACATTTATCGCTCCTTCTCCGAAAACCGTGAAGAAATTACTTCTCATCCTCATCGCGCTTTCGAGATGCGCGACGCGGTACGAAAATATCCGCGACTCGCGGGAAAATCCGCGAAGAGAGAGACGCGGAATTTCTTGCGGATCCGTTAGTCAGTTACTTGGTTCGCCAGACAGGTAGCAATCGATGAAATCGATCAGCAGGTACTCACTCGAATCGCGCCGAGTATCGTTCGTCCCTGGTGCGTCCCCTTCTATACGTGCGTGTCGCTGAAGAATTCAAGAGACCGTCGACCTGGTGAATTGCCTCATTCCCGTGTTCAGGTTTGTCCCTCTGACGATCCGCCCGGAGCACGCCGTGCCTTTCCGCGACGTTCACGGGAACGTTCGAACCGTTCAAAGGACCGCCGCCGACTGCCGCCGCCGAGTTCGCCGCCGCGTCTTTACCGCCGCCGCCACTCTCCCCTTTTCCCTCCCCCACTTCCGCTCCATCAGCTGTAATTCGAGGTTTCGCGGCAGAGGTCGTCGCTCGATTCCAACCGATTCTCGCCTCTTCCTCTTCCTTCCAATGCCAGCCGGGCGACCCAAGTTCCGGAGTAAAATGGCAAAATTGTAGAAATTGCTCCGAAATTAATATGCAATTTATTGCATGTTTTTGCGAGACTTTTTCGAGATATCTCGAAGTCTGGCGCGTCATCGCTTCTATTCTTAGATTTTTTTTTTAATCGTCATCTCTCGTACTTTGCTCGGGAAGAATGGGAAAAAATTCTATAGAACTTGTTGAGAGCTGATAAACTCTGTAGGAGATGAACTTTCGTCGCTGTCCCTCACCTAAATCTGTATCGCGACTCGCTAAGAGCCAGAAATGGTGGAGCAGCGTGCATCTAACAATAAGTCTGGCCTACACCATCGCGTAAGACGACGACGGAGCATGATGAAATTTGGCGAGCCGATGTCACACGACTAGGCTGCCTGCGTAGCAGAGTCATCGCGTCGCCGTTTATTCACGCGTGCCATGCGTTATTCATTATTATCGCGTGCGTAAACGCCGTCGACGACGACGCACAAGCACGTGTGGAACACGCGATTCCCGCTATCGTACGAGGTGTAATCGATATTTGTTTGTATATTATGCAGGCGCCCATCGAGAAACCCGTGAGCGAAGGAGCTTTCTCTTTAAAAATCTTTCTTTTTTTATCAGAACTTGTTCATTTTTATTTTTTTATATATAGCAAATCATAATTTTTAAAATATAAATTCATTCTCTCGAATTTAAATATCGCATATATCTTCGAGAATTTATTTATATATATATATATATATATATATATATATATATATATATATATATATGTATAAGAATAATATTTTGACGGAAATCAGCTGATTTCTGTCAAAAAGTATTCAATTGCAGAAGGTATAATAACATATTACTATTTTAATTTTTTAACATATTACATTTTGAAATTTAATTAGCAACTTAACGCTTTTAATATTTTTAATAGAAATCAAGTGATTAAAGCATCAATTTGCTAATTACATTTTAAAATAACAATATATATGTTGCGAAAATTAAAATAATAAGATGTTTTGAACAATATATGTTATACATTACTTTAAACTCGAGTAATATTTTTGACAGTTATCAGCTGATTTCTGTCAAAAATATTAATAAAGCGTTAATAATTTGCTAATTAATTTTTAAAATAATAATATGTTATAAAAATTAAAATAATATATTTTAAATAATATGTTTTAATACCATAAACTCGATTAATATTTTTGACAGAAATCAGCTGATTTCTGTCAAAATATTAATTGAATTTAAAGAATTATAACATATTATTTAAAACGCATGCATATTATTTTTTAATATACAAAATATATTATTCTCGACATTAATGAGATTCTATTTCGGAAAATTTCTCGCGTTCAATGGAGAATATTTTTTTTTAATTGAACTTAATTGACTAAGGAAGTCGTGTGAGACCACAAGCGGCCAAAGTTGTTCGTTACATTTTTTTGAGGTCAAGGGATAAACGTCTCTCTTAGTTAACTATTCTACTGAATTTAATAGCCGTCTGGCGTATTAATTGGTCCTCATTTAGCGGTGCGATGGCGAGGCCGCAATTTCATCCAATCGAACCCCGATCGTATAAATAATATCGACGTGTGGATTGTAGAGCCATCACGTAAAACGACGTAGATATCACCGTATTCGTGTGCGTGTGCGTAACGATGATCGCATGATGAAGACGACCAAATGCTTCATAAACCGGCGTTTTTCGCGTGAAAAATGACAACTATCTGAAATTAAATATCCGGAACATTTTACGACGATAAAGTGCGACCGCTCCCGGCTCCTCTCAACTAGAAGGCCGTGTTATAAGTGCTGTAATGTGTCACATTTTATTACGCGAGCACTCCACATTTTCAATGGAAAAAGAAAACAGTCTTATCGCTGACTAATAAAATAAAAAAACAACTCGATGTTGGAATATCTGAGAGTTTAGAAATTGCATAATATTTGAAAAGCTGTAAGAAATTTACGACGTGAGGATTTCATTCTTTTTAAGTAAAAAGCATTTGTAAATATTGATCTAAGAATGGAATTATTCTGATTCTATATTAAGTTCTGTTTGGATTCTTTCTTTCTTTGGAGTTATTATTTTTGTTTTTTGCGATGAAAAAATTTGTCTTGTTTTGTAAATATTTTCATATTCAAAAGAATAATGAGAAATGTTGTTTTTAGACAGGATATTTCATGATGCTGTTGATTAAATTACTTCTCATTATCGGACATCCTGTGGTTAAATCTCTATTAAAGTACAGTATAGTCGAAGTTTTTTTTTAAACACAACAATCGAAATAGGTTGAGCTCTAAGAATATAAACGCGTATCACTTTAGTATCACTTTTAATTCTACTGACATTGCATCATCGTCTTAAGATCGTATATCACTTCGTCCTACATCGAGCTTTTCTATACCTGTGCAATAATAAATTATTAAGTAGAAGTAGAACGATGTATATATACATATATTGATATATAGACAAACTACGTTGTTTCTCTTTTCTCTCGTTCATTCCTTTATCGATCACATTTTCAGTTGAAACTTGAACTTTGACAGATGATGTATGATTAGGCTAAGCTGGCTCAGCAGCAACTGCTGATAACCTCTGGATAATGAGTTTGTAAAATTCCTCGTTGTGTGTGTTACAAATATCTCCATAGACTTCCGTACTTGTCTTATCTAATTTTTCTCAAATTAATTAATTCACCTAATTTGCCGGTTAATGAAAAAATTCGCATCCGTCACGGTTAATCGACAAATTATCACGTTCAACAAAAACAGCACCTCCGAATTATTAATGCTTTATTATTTTTTGACAGAAATCAACTGATAACTGTCAAAAATAATAATCGAGTTTAAAGAATTATGACATATTATTTAGAACACATTATAATTTTTATTTTTATAATATATTATTATTTTAAAATTTAATTCGAAAATTAACGCTTGAATCAGCTGATTTCTGACAAAAAATATTAATAATAAATTAATTATTTAATTTGCTAATGAAATAGCTTCTCCGATCATATAGAATCATCTGCGTGTCAGGGGAAGCAAAATTTCAACCATGTCCAAATTCGCCACCAACTCACCAATTTACGGAAGCCGCGACCAGGCACCAGCATCACCGGAAGAGTGCAGGGAGCACTATCTGTTCCTGTTGGAGGTGTTCGTGAGACAGGCGTCGGGCGACCGACTGGCCAAGTTAAATCAGATGTTCTGCGTGCCCACGTGCGTCTATTTCGGATTTCTCGACTTCCTGGACGAGGCTGATCTGGCCGTGACCCCGGTGGACCCTCTCTTTCAACCCCAAACTGGCGTCGCCAACGACGTCGAGGTCTTCAACGCGGGAAAATCGGTGCTGTTCGCCGTCGATCATGAAACCGTGACGGATCGCACCGTCAAGATGATCCTGAAGATCACCGCGAAGAAACAGATGCCGGACAACATCAAACCTGACATCCTGGTGGGTGTCGGCGAGCTGGACCTGTCGGGTCAGTACGCGGCTCTGAGGCTAGAGATGCTGCAGGACTGGCGGAAGGGCATCGCCACGTCGAAGGTGTACGACGGCCAGGTGCCGTTGATTCACAACGACAGCTTGTCGGGCAGCCTGGACATCTTCGTCAGGATGTCCGGCTTCGGTCAGACGATCCTTACCGGGTTCGACGCACCAGTTGGACTGGATCCCTCGACGTTCGTCTTCGGCTCCGGAGAGCTCGATCAGGTTTTGTCGTACAGGTGTCGCAAAATAGATTCTCGGGTCATCGACCTCTTCCGGGATTCCAGCGAGGAACTTCCGGGTTCGACGGCTTGTCCCGTTTGCATACCGGAAAGGTATACTTGTGTACCTTGTGGAAAACTGGGGGCTGCCGAAGAAAGAAACAAAGGAGACGATGGATTGACAGAGAGGAAGGATATGGTAGGTGTTGGAGGAATTTTGCGATTAATCGTTCTAAGAATCTCGGGTTTAATTTTCAGACGTCGAGAAGCCTCGTTCGATCCAAGTTTTGCGGAAAGCCGGTGGTCCTCAAGGTGTCCGGTCTCTTTGACAATGGCGATGACGTCACTGGGAAGAAACCAACTGTGATAGTTGCTGACGAGTCCGCGGCGACGAGACCAGGCGAATCCGCCGATCCTGACCACGATATTTTTGTTCTAAGAATCGGCAAGAAGGGCCTCGTCGGTGTCGGCGAGAAATCTGACATACAGCTGGAGATGAAAACCCCGAAGGGCTTGGAAAGAAGGGCCCCGATCAGATACGAGACCAGGGATATGCAGACGGAAGGACGCGAAGAAGAGCTGCTGAAGCAGCCGATCAAAAAGAAGAAGAAGAAGAAAAAGGCAAAGTGAAGCCTCTTCAAGGTCGAACATTGAGTTCTAATAAATTTTGAATTTATTTGAAATTTTTTTTATTATTGTCATTTTTTTGGGACAAAAATTGTACTTGTAATAAATAAATATAAATTTATATATATCGCGTTCTTAAATTTTTTGCGCTATAAATGTAATTTCGTGTTGTAAAACGTAATAAGACAAATATTTCTCGCGATATCTTGCTATACGATGTAATACATGTTGATAACGATAAATGAATCATCCTATATAATGAGCATTTCAATCGATAAGTTTGTATATGTATAACTGTCAATCAAAAAATCCTTTTATTACCATCCTTTTATAACCATCTAAATTGATTAAAGTATAATATAAGCAAGAAACAAATATAAAATAAAAATATAGAAAGTGATCAATGATAAAATTATTAATTTTTGTTTCACTAGAGATAAAAAAAGTAAAGATAAAATAAAAAGATTGACAAAATTGACAAATGTGACAAGACATTTAACCTCGATATCTTCTTTAAATTATATATTTTTTATTAATTATTTATTAATATTATTTATATATTTTTTGTTTTAAATATATATAAAATGGAAAATGCAATAAAAGGAGAACAGCTATTTTTGCTAGAGTTTTTAGTGGATAAAGTCAACATTCCCGCAATAAAAGCGATACACGAAGAAATCTTGCCCAGCAGAACTTGCATCTCGTTTCAAGTAAAAGTGTATTTAAATCACCCCCAAATTACATTAACTTGATCTTATAATAATAATCATCGTAGATATTAGATCTGCCACCTCTGAATATTTATCAAGAATCGCCAACGGAAGCTTGCGCCTGCATCGAAGATGGGCCGCAAGTCTTCAAAAAGGGCAAGTCCTGCCTGTTCGCCCTGGCAAACGTCGTTTTGCAGAAACAACTTTGCAATTTTCCCGTAACAATGTCTGTTTACAAGGAACTGCCCCCAGGAGTCTTGCCAGACGTGATGTTAATCGGTCTTTTGATTTTGCAACATTATTCGATTCTTTGATCCTGTCATCAGGATCTATCACACCCTTATAATTATAAAGATATATTTTTCGACATATAGGCACTCATCAGATTCAGATTCGCGATCTGATAAACTCGCTGGTGAGCCAACGGAACTTCCAGAACGGCAGCGGCTGCAGAATCCTTAAGGACACCTTCAAGATTACCACGGCGACAGGACAATGCGTAGGCAAGGTCACGGTTTTCATCCGCGCCTCGTGCTTCGGCAGGAAGATCGTTACGCAATTCCAAATCCCTCAGGATAAGGAACCTTATCTCTTCAAGGGCGCCGAAGACAGCCCTGTCTTTCAATGCAAGAGGATCACTTCTGCTACGGACAGAGAACAATGGAAGTACCCGAAAAAGACTGGCGATGGCAGCGGGGAAGCTGCGAAAATCTACTGTCCCGACGAACGTCGGCGAAGGAAACCGAAGGACATCGACGAAGACAAGTGTGCACCATGTTGTTCCCAAGAGAGAAAGAGCAGGGAAACCGTCAGAAAGTGTGGCTGCGTCATCGTCAAGAAGGAACGGACCTGCAGCTATGTTCGGACAAACGTCAGACGGTGGAAATGAAAGTGTTCGAAACAGTTCAAAGACATGTTCAAGAGCGAATTGCATTCGATTCTGCAGCATCATCGTCGTCCCGATCACTCTTCGTCAACATCAGAGATATAGAAAAAGCAGGAAACCCGTCAGGAAGTGTGACTATGTCGTCAAAATGAAAAGGGAAAGTGTTCGAAAGAAGTTCAAAGACGCGTTCAAGCAAATTGTCTTGATCCTGCAGCATTATCGTCGTCCCGATCATTCTTCGTCAACATCAACGAGATAAAAGAAGCAGGAAAATTCATCAGGAAGTGTGGCTGCGTCGTCCAGGAGGAACGGACATGCAGCTGTGTTCGAACAGACGTCAGACGCTTGAAATAAAAGGAGAAAGTGTTCAACAAGTTTAAAGACACGTTCAAGCGAATCGCCTTCGATCGTACAGCATCATCGTCGTCCTGATCACTCTTCGCCAGCATCAGCGAGATAGAAAGCAGGAAAACTGTCAGGAAGTGTGGCTGCGTCGTCAAAATAAAAGGGAAAAGTGTTCCAAAGAAGTTCAAAGACGCGTTCAAGCAAATGGTTTTCGATCCTACAGCATTATCGTCGTCCGATCATTCTTCGATCAGCGACATAAAAGAAGCAGTCATCAGTGTGGCTGCGTCGTTCGGACATGCAGCTGTGTTCGAACAGACGTCAGACGCTTGAAATAAAAGGAGGTTCAACAAGTTCAAAGACACGTTCAAGCGAATCTTCGATCCTACAGCATCATCGTCGTCCTGATCACCCTTTGCCAGTATCAGCGAGATAGAAAGCAGGAAAACTGTCAGTGTGGCTGCGTCGTCAAAATAAAAGGAAAAGTGTTCCAGAGAAGTTCAAAGACGCGTTCAAGCAATGGTTTTCGATCCTACAGCATTATCGTCGTCTCAATCATTCTTCGCCAGCATCAGTAAGATAAAAGGAGCAGAAAATCGTGAGTAAGTGTGGCTGCGTCGTCAAGGAAACGGAGTCTCAGCTGCGTCCGGACAAACGTCAGACGCTTGAAATGAAAGTGTTCGAAACAAGTTCAAAGACGCGTTCGAGCGCGAATTGCATTCGATTCTGCAGCATCATCGTCGTCCCGATCACTCTTCGTCAACATCAGAGATATAGAAAAAGCAGGAAAACTGTCAGGAAGTGTGGCTACGTCGTCAAAATAAAAGGGAAAAGTGTTCGAAAGAAGTTCAAAGACGCGTTCAAGCAAATGGTTTTCGATCCTACAGCATTATCGTCGTCCCGATCATTCTTCGTTAACATCAGCGAGATAAAAGAAGCAGGAAAATTCATCAGGAAGTGTGGCTGCGTCGTCTAGGAGGAACGAACATGCAGCTGTGTTCGGACAGACGTCAGACGCTTGAAATAAAAGGAGAAAATGTTCAACAAGTTCAAAGACACGTTCAAGCGAATCACCTTCGATCCTACAGCATCATCGTCGTCCTGATCACTCTTTGCCAGCATCAGCGAGATAGAAGAAGCAGGAAAACTGTCAGGAAGTGTGGCTGCGTCGTCAAAATAAAAGGGAAAAGTGTTCCAAAGAAGTTCAAAGACGCGTTCAAGCAAATGGTTTTCGATCCTACAGCATTATCGTCGTCTCAATCATTCTTCGCCAGCATCAGTAAGATAAAAGAAGCAAGAAAACCGTGAGTAAGTGTGGCTGCGTCGTCAAGGAGAAACGGACTCTCAGCTGCGTCCGGACAAACGTCAGACGCTTGAAATGAAAGTGTTCGAAACAAGTTCAAAGACGCGTTCGAGCGCGAATTGCTATCGATCCTGCAACATCATCGTCGTCCCGACCATTCTTCGTCAGCATCAGCGCGCTCCTGCGTATTTAGATCTCCGTTTATTCCTGTCCGACGTCGTTGCGAGGGGGGAGAAGCGACGTCGTGACGCCAGGGGGATGCGACCAGGAAGGGAGAGCCCTCTCCGGGTCGACGACACCGGGTTGCCACCCCGCTCGGTCCCGCCAACCCTCTGTCTATCTTGGTCGTGGGGTGCTAGGCCGATATTGTCGCGTCTGCGCGATAGACAACAGTCGGGAGACAGTCGTGAACAGAGAGACGTGGCCGACGCGGCGTCGTGCGGCGTCGGGGGACGCGCGTTAACCCCTGGCCGACCTCCGAGGGAAGGAAGAAACACCTGGCCGAGGCGTTGACAAGGTGCACCCCGGCGACGGCAGCGCGACCGGACATCCTCCACGGTATCCAACATGAACAGCTCGCCGCAGAATACGAACAGCACCGGCGGCCAGAGGCGGACGACAACCGGTGTCGACAACAGCGACGAGGAGGAATGGAGCGGCGTCGTCGAATGTGTAATTATTATTTTCATCTTAATCGCCGGTGGTTTCGACTTCTTCAGACTCGTCTGAAAGGAGACAAAAATGGGATAGTTGTCGGGTAAAATTCACCAAGAAGTTAGAACTAGCTCTTAAATCGGTTCGTTGTGTTGAACCGCGAGGAAAAATGGAGGAATCGTCATCATCGGCGTTCATGATTTCTGATTTTTCTTAAATTGTTATCTACAAAATTTTCCGCTCCGCCGTATTTCCTTTATCTCAGAGGTCGCGTAAAACAGATTATCTTCTTCCTTTTTGTTTGCTTTATCGGACACAATATTATTGTACCGTCGCGTAAAGCAAACCCAATCTTAGCGTTACGATCCGGCGATAAGTGTTTCTTTTTTATTTCCTCAGGCTGTCCTTGAAAGAACCAAGTCCGATAGAGCCGCACGCGCTGATGAGGACAGACGTCGACGGACGATTATCGTTGAGAAGAAGAATGGCACGTACGGTTTCACGTTACAGGTGAGACGAGCACTTTGTATGAATTACAGCATCGCGTAATGAGTATGTGATATATCTTCATCCTTCTAAGGCGACACTATTTATTACTCACTCGATTAAAACCCGCAAAACTTAAAGACCGAAATAAACAAGTTATAAACATATGTTTTACGTGTCTTGGCTGCTTTAATTATTAGTAACTTAATCCCTGATCTTATAGAGCTACGGAATACATTACAAGAGGGAGCAGGAGATAGAGATGGTTACATACGTGGATTACGTGGAATACGATGGACCAGCATTTAAAGCTGGTATGCGAGAGGGCGACGTAATATTGTCTATAAACGGTCACGAGATGGATAGGGCCGATCACAAGACCCTCGTGAACTTTATTAAGAACTGTGATACCAGAATGCGAATGGTCGTGTCCTTCGAAGACTGCGTAAGAAAGGTAAGAAGATAAAACATAAAACTCATAATAACATTATCATAGTTTTTATCGCTTAAAAATTATCTGGACAAAAGGATTAAAAAATGATTTAAAGGTGACAAAAGGAATCATAAATTTATAAAGCTTCCTAATATAAGATAATCGTTTTAAAATTTGGATTTTATATTATCTTGATGTCATTAGGAGTTTTACATTCTTTTACCTGGTTTGATGACATTTCCAAAATCTTGAAACTTTAATCAACGCAATTTATACTTTTTCCATTTGTTTGCTTCAATAGCAATTAATCAACTGAGAATATACGTGAAATTTCAGGTGGAATTACACATGCGTTACATCGAATTACAACGTGCCCTTCAGTCTCGCCTGGGCGAGTTGGAGAGACTCTGCGAGAGAGAACGGTCTATTCTAATGGGTCGATGGAAGACCCATTCACTGCCAGCGCGCAAAAGAACCCCTAACAACATCGCCGGCACTAATCCTAATCAGCCGTCACCCTCTTCCAGCTTCAATTCTTCCACCATCCAGTGCTGCCGGCCAGCAACCTCCACCGAACACCTTCTACTCTACAATGTGGTAACTACTTTTTTCGAGTACTATAAATTAAAAGAAAAAATAAAGAACCAACATTAATAGGCTAAATAGAACAAAAAGTCAAAATAATTGGAGTCCAATTTTGGTCGAAATGACGTCAAATTGGCATCATTTTGACTTTTCTGCTCTATTGGGGAGTGAACTTTTCTGTAATGATGATTTGTCTCTCAACTTTTACATCTCTGAAACAACATCTCGAAACGCAAATACATCTTCCAGTTCGCGGACGGACGACCCTATCTCATCCCACGCAGCGCCGCTTGCCTCGTAACAGTCGGACCTCCTCGTTCTCGCAGCGATCACCACCACTTTTTATCCAAGATGTCGAGCGAATCTGCGATGGCTGTGAGCTCTTCGCGTCACAGTTACCATCAGGCGAACGGTTTAACGGGTACACCCGCGAAGAGCAAATCCCATAAGCAGTCCTGCCAGCAAGCATCATCCGGCGAAGGGCCATCGTTGCACTCGGTTCCTCAAAACAACCTCTGCGTCGCTTGCATCTCCAGCGCAAATCGTCGTCGGGAACAGTCCGACAGCGGCAGTCTGGATGCTTACGATCTCGCCAGTCCTTGTTGCGATCCGAATTGCGTACCTAGTCGTCGACGTCGCGAGAAGCAACGACGCGCCCGCAACGAGCAGGCTCTTCATCAGCAACAGCAGCAGCAGCAGCAACAGCAACAACAGGCCAACATCCAGCATCATCACAACGTTCAAGGACAACGAGACCAGCAACAGCAGCAGCCTAACGCTCACAATTGCCCTCGCACTTCCGGCCACAGTCTTCACTCCATCACCAGTAGCGACGTCTCGACGACGGCCGAGAGCGTCGCTTCCTGCTCCACCAGTCTCAGCACCGACACTCTCTACTGGGACCCGAGCGTCCACCAGAGACCACCGCCGTGCCTTCAATACGCCAAGCCCAAGTCCTGGGACAATCTGACCACCAAAGCCTTCGGCGGCTACGGCTTCGGCTACGGTTACCTGGACACCGTGACGATCAAGACCCACAGCGCGGAACGTCCCGGTAAGGGCTCGCACAACAGCGGTGGCGGCAGATCGAAGACGCCGATCGGCATCGTGCAGCGGAAGTCCAGCGGCGCCAGCGGAAGTACCGTCTACTCGACCGCCACGAGTTCGACGGTCACCAGTCGGCACTTCCAGCCGACCAAGTCGACGGAGAGCCTGCTGATCGCGCCCGGGCCTTACCAGGGCGACCTCGATCAGGCCAGCTTGAGCTGCGAGTGTCTGGACAGCGGCGGAGGACCCGGCTCGCGATTCATCCAGCTGGACAAGCACAAACGCGCAGAGGACGCGGGTTACGTCCCGCCGAACCACGCGCAAGTCAGACATCGACGGTCTAGTCATTCCGACGGGAAACTACGGGCTATCAATAACTCCGAAGTCACGCGATTGTAATGTCCTCTTATTATTATTGGAGCATATTATTCAGATTATCAAGATGAGAGAATAAAGCATCGACGTTGTGGAAATGCATGTTTGCTCGCGTTTTATTTCGCCAGCCGAGAAAATGGAGTCGCGATGATGATCGAGTCAGAGGACGTCTCTTTGGAATTAAATGCGAATTTCAGGAATTTCCAAGTCATCTTCAAGTTCTCGCGTTTCGATATATTCCCAAGTATTTTAGGTCAAAGTTACCAGAGATCCTCTAATAAGAGAAAAATCAATGTTGTACAATAAAAATAAACATTTTTGTTTAATTAGGAGCTGCATATCATTTTGTATTTTCTTCACCATCTCCGATTTATCTTTCAATCGATCGATTAATTTAACAATATAAATGTAGATAAAATTGATCAATTTTAAGCTGGCAATTTTTATATTTAATCAACCAATGAAGTTAATCGGAGATGGTAAAACTGATCCTCAAAAAGTTAGAATTGTAATATGAAAATAACGTGTATAAAATCCTTGTCTTAGTTTTTGTACAAAATAAATAATTAAGCGTTTTTTCGAAATAACAAGGTCAATGACAAGTTCATCATCATTTGAAATTCAATTTCTATCAGAACTGTTAGAGAGTCTCTAAGAGTTACAATAAACATCTGACGCCATCTCTGCTTTAAAGCGTCGTCGAGGATCTTTGCTTTCAATCCACACATGTTTGAAAACCTATATTATCCACTGTCAGTTAGTCTGTATATGCATACTAGATTGTCTCTGACTTTCATTAGAAAGATTATTAAAGTTGCGAGATTACATGAAAAAAATATATATTGTTGATCGCATAATATTCATCTGTGTAACAAAATAAATGTTATTTCTAAATCATATAAAATATAAATATATATATATATATATATACTTTGGTAATGTTTCGAACGCAGTAAAAAAGACTAAAAGAAATTTTTTCTGTTCAATAAATACTGTTATTTTCAACATATTGGTTTATAATAAAACATTCTATAACTCAACATATCTTCAACTCAAAATGACCACTAACAATATGCGCGCTCTTAAACACACTTTGGCCATTATTTCGTTCATATACAGATATTACAAAGCGGGTGTACATACACACCCACACGTGTCTCTCCTTTCTTTCTATATACATATACATGTACATACGTACACACATGAAATGCACTTGCGTGCGCATACATATAGACAGTTATTCACGATCGATTCGCACAATCTCACCCACCACACACGGCTGTGTCTGTGTTATATATGTGGTATATATTATGTATGTGTGTATTGTTTGCCTACATATACAAGTGCCACTTTACAACGGTATGCAATAAATATGTACATAACTTAGCATATATGTATATATGTATATGTTCGTGTGTGCATGTCTGTATCAAACATCATCGCTACACAGAACCCACCGGGCCGAAAAATAAATTACTCCATCTCCTTCCTTGTTTCTTAGTTAAATGCACATTCGCAGCCTACGTCATAAACGCACTCGAAACCTTTTCAAGCTAGGAAGAAGCTTCCGTAACCGGATCGTTTTAATTAATAACGTGTACTATTGCAGCAAGAAGATTCTGCTGAAACCTTTCTTTGTTCGGATTTCCTTAGATCCTAATTTCGAAATAATATAAGATCCTCGAATTTTTATATACTAAGACTTTGAGAATTCAAATCTTAATCTTCCAATATATATATATATATGAATAATAAGATGGTTTTGTTTTCTCAGATTCTTAGACTTTTAAATTCTCAACGATCCTTAAGATTTGGTATCTTCGGTCTCTAGATCGTAGAATCCTTAAATCTTGCAATCTTCGAAATTTAGGATCACATCTTTGGATTTTCACATCCTCGGATTCTCTAGGACTTTTTTAAAATAAATATTCCTGAATTATCAAATCTTTAAAATTATTTAGAATTCTCGAATCTTAGAACTCTAAATCTCTCCCTATTACTAACTTCTTTTACTTCCTCTAATTTACAGGATTATAGGAAAGACGCTAAAACTGTCTAAATCGACTTCCGTAGACGACAATACAGCTTCACTTTAGAATCGTCGAAGTATCTTAAATTTACGTTGTTTCTCATACGGGAGTGGAGCAGATGGGATTGTGAAAAGGTCCGCCTCGATGATCCTCGGAGGGAACATCGGGCTCCAAAAGACACTTTCAAATGGCCTTCTTCGAACTTTCGTTATTCGAGATGAACAAGTGCGAATACTCTGTCCGGGTCGATAATTGTATCAGCACGTCCTCTGCAAGAAATCGATCGATCAATCAGTCAATTTTCATCTCGCGAGACATATTTATTTATTACAAAAAAATTTGTTATTTATTTAAAACAAATTCACACAAAAAATATTTAAATATTTTTTTATTTATTTATATTTATAATATATATTTATAATATATATAAATATTTCAATATTTCTTTATTTATTGAAAAAAATATTTACCGAAGCTCACTGTGTGAACGTTTTGCTTTCTGGCCTGCTGAAAAATCCTGTTGGACTCCTCCGCTGGCATCCGTAACGATAACCTCAAGGCTTTCCTGAGTTCCGACTGGGTCAAACACATCGTCATCTTCGAGCCGCATACCTATGACACAATGTGATTGCGTTAAAAATAAAAGTTTGTATGCCATGTATATATATAACCGTGCGCACTCACATCGAACGCAATTTCGACCTTGTCTAGTTCCGAGGATGCGTTCGCCGTTGCCAGCACAGTGAAGATGTATTCCTCAAGATCAATCTTCCCCTGCCCGAGCTGCAAGAATAAAATATAAATTCTCTTGAATAAATGTTTTTAAACATACTTTTTTAATGTATGTACGAACCCTGTCATGAATACGAAACAGTTGCTGAGTGGTTGGATCCCTTTCGTCTAGTCTAAGAATCTGCGCAAATTCTTGCAGATTCACCTCGCCGAAATTATTTGTCTTCTTCTGAACGAGCTCTTCTTCCGTCTTTGATGCCACTAAACTGTGACAGATATTAAAATTTGTATTAAACTTATATATTAATTTTTATAAGATATCATTAATTATAATTAATAATAAAAATAAAGACTAAAAATTAATCTCATTAATAAATAATTTCTTAATTAATTATATAATATATCCAATATATATGTGTTTATATTATTCGTCATTTACCCCAATTTGTATCGAAGTTTATGGGTTTTTACGATACTAGATGCGTGAGGTAGATGCAATTGATGGGCCTTTCGAATAATCCGGCAGTCATCGTAAGTGTAATCCGAAACGGGAATCTTCAACGCTCTACAAAAAGTCAAACAATAATCTTTTCAAAGACCCAGACATCTTCGGGAAACCTCTCTCGCTCATTAGACGCACGAGAACTCACTCTGCCATAAGACGTCGCACATTGTTCGCGTAGAGTTTGGGATCCAGTTTCTCCGCTTCGCTCGGATTGTAGACCGGCAGGAACTCGATCTCGCAACTGCTGTTTAACTGCGTTAACGTCAACCACAGCAATTTCAATCTGCAACGCGCAACAGGTGAAGAGACTCCAACCAGACCGTAAAAGAAAGAAACCAATAAAAATAAAATAGAAATATAAGAATGAAGGAAGAAGGATATACTTACGCTCCAGGACCTTCCCACGTCCACGTGACCGTGTCCAATTTGTTAGGATATCTGATGCACACTGGTTGCACTGGTACCCCGGGATAGAAGGCGCCCGATTTGAAGGTAATCAGGCATGACCGGTTTGTGCAGGTTCCCTCGGGAAATATCATAACCTGAGGAAGAGAGGATCGGTCAATTGCACCGAGAAGACGAAGGCGAAGGTAGCGATTTACGCTACCTTGATTGCTAGCTTGCGTGCACCTCTCGTCCATGAATTATTCAGAAGAAATCTCTACGACCTCTCTCTACGCAAAACTTTACGATAGTACAATACAATATATAAATTATTAATACTTTACCTGTGGCCAATCCTCCTTGGAAGTGGTCCTCTCAATGATTTCCTTTATAGTATTCTGACGAGAATTTGGATCTTCCCTCCATACGTAGACTGGCTGCGTATAGTTGATGAGTTCTGTGTTCGTCAAACATCGAAAGATGTAATCGATTTTGTCAAATGGCAGCTGTTATAATTATAATTAGGATTTTGCGTGACTAAGTCAAATGTAATTGAATCAATTATTATTATTATTGTAGCCTAGTTGCGCGAGTAATGAATTTCTCTAAACGGAGCAAGAAAAGCCCTGCTTGCGAACGAATTGATCATGATTTTTGTTATTTGAAAGGACCGGAAATTAATTGCGACATTTTTACACAGCGACAAATTATTTTGCACATGATAAGCTTGTTGATTAATATTGTCTCATTGAAATCGCAATATTAACTGTAGCAACATTTCTTGCAAAAGAGTGTACATTTGCTCTTAAAATATAATTTCGTCGCACAAAATGGTAAATGGGATTCACTAATTCGAATTTTTCAAAGATATTAATGTCTCCTATTACACATTTTCCATGTTGTGGAAAAAGAAATTAATATTCGGCTGACTTTAAGAAAGTGCAACATCGCAATGTCGGTGTACGATGTAAATGATTGTTGAAATGTCATTGTTATCCATAAATCGCCCACAATAATTTTTTTTTCTTATGCGCTCTTACAAAGTTGTTACAGCCAACTTTCCCATTTGACTAGCAATAATGCCTGAAATTGTTGCCCTTTAAGATGACCTCACGCGAAGAACAACATAATGAGACTCTCAGAGCTCAAGACTTTCTCCTAAACTGACGTCATTATTTTTGCTTGGCTCGAATTCTAAGTAAGTTTTGAAACAAAAACATATTTGCAAAAATAAATAATAAAAGAATATATATAGCGGGGAATAAATGCCCAAGTAGCAAAGTGACATTATTTTGACGTTTAATGACGTCTAATGACATCGTTAGACGTCAAAATGCCGTACATTCGCTACCTGGATGATTAATATAAAAAGGAATAAAAGAAAAAACCAAAGTGTAGCACCTACTTCCTATAAATGGGTTTAATCCCGATTCTCGCCTGACGATGATGGAGGGAAATCCGGTGACGTAAACGATGCCGCCGTCGATGAAGGTCGAGTGCGGCGCGAGGACCAGAATCGGCGCTTCCGATCTGGAAGCCTGTTTTCCTCGGACCACGATTTTCATTCCACCGGCTTGGTAAGTAAGTCGGCCCACGAAACATATCCATGGCACTAATTTGCTGCGAGTTTCAACCGACAAAGGTACATGCAGTGGAAAATACTCCAAAATACTTCCCAAGTAGCAAACTGACGTCATTAAACGTCAAAATGACGTATGCTTGCTATCTGGGTTGAAAATTTGAATTTCTCAAAAGTGTATTCGAGTGTATCTGATGGTATATCGTGAAAAGAGAACGCGGAATTCTAATATACAGATATTCCAGGTCAACTCCTGGTGCTACGAAAGAGAAAAACGTCATGTTCAGGTATGTCCGATGCACTTTCTATACACGATCGTTCGATAGAAAGAAAAGGGATGAGAAGATGGTGAAAGCATTCGGATTAGTAACTCAAGTTTTGACAGTCGTGAAAAGTTAATTGCGACTTATGCACACGTGTATCATGACGAAGTTTCTGCACTTTCCTTTTGGCTCTCTGAATACAATATCGGTATCCAATTAATTTTCTATAAAAGTTAATTTACCGAAAGGTATATATATGTTTCTAGATTTATATAATTTTTTAAATAGGATTGGAAATAAAATTGATAAATACAAATTGAGAATGCATGTAGTGCTATAATATTTAACTCTTCTACTGAATTTGAATTTGCAGTTTATAATTTGTTTGTTAAAGGATCCAATCAAATAAAACGCGCAATCTATAAAAAGCCAAGTTATCGAATAATTATTAAAGATACAGTTACAGTTAGTTAGTTGCCGAAGAATGAATCCCATCCACCATATGTATGTATATATAATATTATGTACAATAAAAAATGAATGATTAGAGCATAACATTGCGATTTTCTCATCACATTCACACACACAAATCTTTTATTTCTACAAGAAGGGAGAGGCCGCTAGTCTGAATTTTAATTAAAACATCCACCTAAAAGACAAGTATTCATATTCTATCAGTTCAATTTTAAGATCATTTATAAGATATATCCCAAGTAGCAAACTGACGTCACTAAACGTCAAAATGACGTAGGCGCGCTACTGGGGATATTATATATATATATATATATATATAATGTTTAATTATATAATTATAAATTTAATTTTAATTTTTAATATATATAATTATAATTTTTTTTTCAAAAATATATAGGGACCTCTCTCTTATCGGTAAATTTTTTTTCGCCAAGGGGCGAAAAAGCGATGATGGGCGACCTACTTCCGAAGAAAGGGAGGCGGCTACTCTCCCCTTTGGCAACGATGCTCGGGCCGCCGAGGTACACAACCGGAAGTGCATCGAAGAAGCTGGAATGCGGGGCGAGAGCCAGTACCGGCGCGTCCTTAGTCGCCGCCTTCCGGCCCTTGACCTTCAGATGATGAAATCCACCGCAGAGAAATAACGCCCGCATCATCCAGCAGATCACGATGCGCATGTCTCTGTTTTTTTTTTTTTTAATAGTTTAATTTGCAGTGCGCATGCACACCAGTTCGGTGCAACTCTCGCTACTACTTTTACTCTTGTATGGGGGGTCTAAAATAATTAGCGGGAGTCATCTTTGGAATTTAGGGAAAATCGACCTTTCCAAAAGTTACGATCGATAAATATTTTTGATATCTTTAACTCAACACAAAGATCGTTAGATTTAGAAATCGTAAATTTTTAGAAAATACTTGGAGATTACGAAACCTTTAACAAAAATGTGTCTTCTTGAAATTCTCATATACGCTTATTTTGTATGCTAAATGCAAATTTGAAAAAAATAGTTATTTTTAATTTAAATACACGCAAGTTATGATTGTTTATGTAATACTATACTAGTTACATAAATCCAAAAACTAGTACGTATACTTTATAAATAATAAAAGAAGTTACAAGGCTGTTTCGTATCATGTGTTCTGTCTTTAGAGTTGAAGAAATCTTAGAAATACTTTTTTACACTAAACGAGTGTCATAACTTCTCTCGCTATAATACAATGTTATTTTATAGACTCTCCGCGTCGCAAGACCTTGACAGTAACGCATGACTAAATTATGAAAGAAATATAAATAGGCGGTGTTATAACTTTACCGCCAACCAACCACCTTTATACCTAAGTAACTTTTTGTCTGCTAATTTACAAAATAATTTCTTCATCAAATAATATCTTTCCAATAATCCAATTTTACTTATAAATTTGAAGAATATTGAGGGTTGATATAAAAAGAAATGTATTAGTTCTTCGAGATTATTATCGGATAAATAAGACACTAGTCAATTATTTCAATGAGAGAAGAGAAACGCGAATCGAGAGATGTCTTATATTGTGTACAGAAACATTTTAGTAATAGAATCGTAGACAATATGACCTTGTTACAAAGACAAAGATCTAATCTTGTCTCGTGTATGAAAGTATATATTATTAAATGTTATTCTTTCTCTTTTTTTCTCTCCGACTAATCAAGACTGATCCTCTTGACTCGATATGTCATCTCCAAATATTTAATATCTTTGGTTCAACACCAAGAATCGTTCATCAAAATACGTCTCTTAAAAATTGCAAACAGCCGAGTTCTAGCATCCAAGGATCTTTTGTGAGATACATGCATATCCAAAAGATCTAAAATAAGTGCGAGTTTAATTCTGTTAGCAAAGCGAGATGACGTACTGTACCAGCACAGAGAAAAGCTGAAGAAGCGACCCCGAAGGGTTAATGTTAATGTGAATAGCATGGTAGGTAGAAATAGACTCGGCCTGTAAGGACATAAGGAATGAGAGAGGGCCGTTTTTTCTACTCGGTGCGAGAAAATCGCACCCCGGTTTGCTGCTCAAACATACCGCCTCCAACCCGTGAGAGGAGCTCGGCGAAGATCTTCCTCGGACAATCCATGCAGACCTAGACAAGCCAACAGCCACGCGAAGATCATCAGGGTCGTGATGACGGCTAGCCTGAGCGGCAAGAGGGCGATTGTCAGGAATATCGTCTGCAACAATCAACATTTCCTGTGTCAATTTTTTAGTAACCCAAATAGCAAACGTCATTAAACGTCAAAATGACGTCATTTTGATGTCTAATGGAGTCATTCGACGTCAGAATGACGTATTTGTGCATATAATATGCTGAACATTTTTTTCGTGCCATTTTTAGATAAAAAGATATTTTGAAACACAAGTTTAGATGATTTTAACACACATTTAAAACACTCTGAAAATTATTTCTTGTTTTGTGACAGTCAATTAACGACTGTAAAATAATTGAAACATCAGGCTTTGTCATATACATATATATAGAATGACTGCGCAAGTGCAAGGCTATATACGGATTATCAGGTCTTATATCACAGTTATTTTACAGCTGATTGATTGATTATAAATGGAAAAGGTTAATTTTCGGAATATTTTAAAAGTGTATTAAAGTCATCTCAAGTAGCAAACTGACATCATTAGACGTCAAAATGACGTATGCTTACTATCTGGGATCTAAAGTTGCGTTTCATAAATATCTTTTTATCTAAAAATTTCAAGTAACAAACTAATATCTTTAAACGTCAAAATGACGTCATTTTGCTGTTTAATGATGTCAAGTTGTTACTTGGAGTTATTTTCTCGCCTGACGTCTAACATGAATCTTAAATCTAACATATATATTACATTCTGACTCTCATCACTGATATATGCATAAATAAATAATAAAATTGAAAAATCAAATAAATAAAAGCGATTTTTTATATATATATATATATATATATATATATATATATCGTTATATATTATTCATGATCTGTTGGATCAGAGATAAGATCTGACAAGTCTAATAGATGCAAATCATATGTTCTATAGGTGTTATTTATATGTTAGCACGCTCTTAGAATGTATGTTAAAGAAAAATTTCACTTAGAAGAATATTAATAATTCATTGAATGATGACATAACGTTTCTTATCGTATGTGCTGTATCTGAAGACTACGTGTGATAAAAATGGAACACAAAACTTTTACGAAATTAAATTGTCATAAAGTAGTTCAAAGGCGGATGCGAATCATATGTTCCAAGTGTTATCTAAATGTTAGTACACACTTAGGACTTCTATTAAAGAAACTCCATTTAAAATAATATACAAAATTCATTAAATGGCGACAAAATAAGATTCTAATTCTCACTCTATCAAAGGATTGCGTGATCAAAATGGGACACGCAGCTAAGGTGCAAATCATATATGTTCCAAATGTTATCTAAACGTTAATACACACTTGGAACTTTTACTAAAGAAACTCTATTTTAAATAATATACAAAAATTTGTTTAATGAGGACAAAATATCAGAGGACTGCGTGATCAAAATGAGACACACGCAGATAAGAACCAAACCATATGTTCCAAGTGTTATTTAAATATTAGTTCACACTTGCGACTTCTACTAAAGTAACCCCATTTTAAATAATACAGAAAAATTCATTAAATGACGACCAAATAAGGTTCTTCTCACTCTATCAGAGGACTGCGCGATCAAAATGGGACACGCAGGTAAAATACAAATCATAGGTTCCAAGTGTTATTTAAATATTAGTTCATACTTGCGACTTCTACTAAAGTAACTCCATTTAAAATAATACACAAAAATTCATTAAATGACGACCAAATAAGGTTCTTCTCACTCTATTAGAGGACTGCGCGATCAAAATGGGACACGCAGGTAAAATACAAATCATAGGTTCCAAGTGTTATTTAAATATTAGTTCATACTTGCGACTTCTACTAAAGTAACCTCATTTAAAATAATACACAAAAATTCATTATATGACGACCAAATAAGGTTCTTCTCACTCTATTAGAGGACTGCGTGATCAAAATGGGACACGCAGGTAAAATACAAATCATAGGTTCCAAGTGTTATTTAAATATTAGTTCATACTTGCGACTTCTACTAAAGTAACCTCATTTAAAATAATACACAAAAATTCATTAAATGACGACCAAATAAGGTTCTTCTCACTCTATCAGAGGACTGCGCGATCAAAATGGGACACGCAGGTAAAATACAAATCATAGGTTCCAAGTGTTATTTAAATATTAGTTCATACTTGCGACTTCTACTAAAGTAACCTCATTTAAAATAATACACAAAAATTCATTAAATGACGACCAAATAAGGTTCTTCTCACTCTATCAGAGGACTGCGCGATCAAAATGGGACACGCAGGTAAAATACAAATCATAGGTTCCAAGTGTTATTTAAATATTAGTTCATACTTGCGACTTCTACTAAAGTAACCTCATTTAAAATAATACACAAAAATTCATTAAATGACGACCAAATAAGGTTCTTCTCACTCTATTAGAGGACTGCGTGATCAAAATGGGACACGCAGGTAAAATACAAATCATAGGTTCCAAGTGTTATTTAAATATTAGTTCATACTTGCGACTTCTACTAAAGTAACCTCATTTAAAATAATACACAAAAATTCATTAAATGACGACCAAATAAGGTTCTTCTCACTCTATTAGAGGACTGCGTGATCAAAATGGGACACGCAGGTAAGTAAGTAAATAAGTAAGTAATTGGATCGGACCAAGTCGTCGGTTGTTACGCGGTCAAGGTTACAAGACGCTCATCGGTTGGCTTCGGTTTCTCGTCTCTTGAAGAAAAAAAGAAGAAAGGAACGAACGAAAAGCATAAAAGAGATGGTACGCGAGTACCGTTCGTTATGTTTCGCACTGTTCCGTTAGCCATACACATCAACCGCTCGTCCTCTCTCCTCTCTCTCTTCGTCTTATTCAAAAAACGAATGCATGAACCAGACACTGAATGTGTGATATGCGAAAGCAAGACACAAATCTATGCCAAGTATGTCTTTATTAATTAAATCTACAGTCCGTTATAAATTAATATTGTTGGAGCCCACATAAGTGTGATATTATGTTATGCTTATCTTATTCAAGAAACGAAGGCATAAATGTAATGATAGAGGAAGGCGAGTTAAATATCTGTGCCAAGAGTATCTTTATCAATTAAATTTAGTTTATATGAGTTACAGTTTACATGTGTTTACAAGTGTAATAACTGTGACGTAATTTTTCTGTAAACGAGAGTGAATGTAAAGCAAAAACTGGGTCAAAGATTGGAAACAATTTAAAGGTTAAAGTGATCAATTTTGTATGAGTATTAAAGTAATATTACAAATAAAAATTACACGAGACATGATTCAAATTATGACAATCATCGATCGAACAAATCATGAATGATATCAAAAACTTCTTTCTCAATTTATTTGTTATGCGCTAACTTTTGCAATTTATTTCGTAAAAGTAACACTGTGAATCTTAAAACTCTCTCTGCGTTATCTCGATAAAGAAAACAGAAAAGATAGAAAATTATACATTCAACTTATAATAAAAGATAAAACTATTATGTAAAAAAGCATAGAAAGTTATATATTAACATACATTAACATAAAATATAAAGTACAAATACAGAAATTAGATGCTGTATAGATTATAAAGTATAAAATAAATTATAAAATTAAAGAAATATTTGTAATATATAAAAGACTACACAGAATACTTTGTATATTTCAAAATTTGAAAAAATTGCAGTAAATAAAGTATTAGGATAGAAAGTAAAAATATAAGATGTTGAATATTCTATGTGAAGATGAAGACATAAAACATCTCGTAAACCATTAACCTTTTCAATAATTCTGTTGTAATATTTTTATATTTAGAACGATTAAAAAAGAGAATCGATATATAGGAGAAAAATGATACTTTATGTAATTAGTCCGTTAAAGAAAAATTAATTTATTTTATATTTTACCTGCGGAAATAAAAACTGTGTCAATAGAATATTCCACCTTGAAACCTCGCGACATTTTTGTCCGAAACTTTCTTTTCGATACCATTTAGATTCTAGAGGTAATATATTGCATCGAGACTGATTTTAAAAAATAGAACGCTTTATAGGTGTTTATTATAACTAATTATATATAAAATATATAATTTAATTTTATATAATTTTATATTAATTTTATATAAAATTTATATAAAAAATATGTATATAAAAATTTAATTTATATAATAAATTTATATGTATAAAATTGAATTTTCGACTCGATCGTCGATTTTCCTTTTAGGATGCAACGTATCCATTTCTATAATTTGATCCCGTTGACATAAATTATCCCGTTCTTAACTCACTCGCATCACCTAGAATGTAGGCTTTCTACGCGTTCAGACTTCACCGATGTTTTAACAAGAGAAAGCATCGGGTCCACGGAAGAGCGCTACTTGCGCCGTATTATAATGTTTAGAAAAGTGTAGGCCACACGATTTTAATGCGAAAATATATATTGTACAATATGTTATATATATATGAAACGACGTAAGAAAAGTCATTGATCTCGCTACTGTTTACAAGAACTGAACTGCGGAAATGGCTTTAACAAGTCCGAAGGCTGTTTATTGTTTTTTGCCGTGCAATCTAGATCACGATAAATGTGTTTCTAGATCCTTTAATTTTGCAATATTTATAGTATATATTATTGAGAATAATTAAAAATCTTAAGAATTCTCTGCACAATTCTATCATGTTTTCATATCAAACACAATCGTAATTATAATGTCGAGGAATTTCTAAATGTTTGCCTTAGTATTGATACTCTGAATAAATATGCTCATGTTCCACACACAATCACACAATTATTAAATATTTAGTATCATATGATAGTAATATTTATAATATTATTTATTATTTAATATAATATTTATATATTATAATATATTTATATATATAATATTTATATTAAAAATTACTGGTATACCAATAATATATTATTGAAGAACTATTATTATATCAGTAATTTTTTCGTATTTTTGTAATTTTTTTTCGTGCGGTATATATATGATATTTAATTAAATACCCGAGTAATAAATAAATGTGATATTATATATTAAAAAAAAATGAAAATAAATAATAAATAATAAAAAAAAATAGAAATTATGAAAATAAATAAATATCGTATAAAATAATAAATACTATAACAGAAACTTTCCAAATCACAGATTCGCCTACATCGGCGAGCATCTACTAGTGAACGTACTGATCGCTTACGTGACCTTGTTCGCGGTTACACACACACACACACACACGTGGCTAACATTTACATCGAGTTCGCGTCCGAGAAGCCCCGTACGAGAATGTGCCAAAGAAAAGTGGGGCGGAAATTACATAGGAAACGATATATATAAGGCCCAGCATACTTATCGTCAGGGTCTCGACCGTGAGGTATATCTCGGGAAAATGGATGACTTAACTTTTATCTGTCGGGCAAAAGGAATTAAAGGATACTTAATTGCACGAAATTGGCAAAGGCCACTTGGCTACCCGCTATATACCCTGACCGATTACTCTGGCCACCGCGTGAAAGTAACCACGACCAACTTGCGGAAAAACCGGCCTCTTTGTGTATGTATGTGTGCGTAAACGCGATATCTCCTCCGACTATCTCGCGAATTATTTTTACAATTATCCCTCGTTCTTATTTCGCCACCAGATTTCCGACAAATTTGCAATACAACTCTTATATAACTCCGCAATATTGTGTCATACATTTTTATATATATCGCACTCTTTAGATTCGACTTTACGTATACATATACGTTCGCACTTGCCGCAATTAGTTTTCGAAATCAAAACTATTCGATCTCTCTTTCTTGAAATTTATTATTTTCTGAAACAATTCAAGTTTAATATGCGAAAACATTATTTTTTGCGATATTTGAGATTTTTTGGTAAAAAAATAAGTTTTTTTTTTGTAAACTAATATTATTTTCAATTTCAATTATTATTATTATTATCGATGACCATTCATAAAGTTGGGGAGACAAGAGGGGGCATTTGCCATCCTTGGAATCAGTAAAAAATTCAAAGGTCATTTGCTCTCCTTCGAATAAACACTGAAATTTATTAAATATAAAAAAAATTGAAAAAAACAAAACGAACCAAGAGAGAACAAAAAATAAGAAAAAAATGTTAATCATAATCCCACTCCTTGGAAAAAAATCATAACGCGCGCGAATGTGTTCTCGAGAATTTTCAGAACTTTTTAAAATCAAGGATACCACAAAAAAATAAAAAAAAAAACGAATGAAAGAAGGTAAAAACTGCGATGTGGTTGTCCAGCACACTCAGGCGCACTTCCTCGGCATCGCGATCGAAGCAAAAAGATGAGGAAAAAAATGTAATCCTAATCCCACCCCCTGGAAAAAAATCTTGACGCGCGGGAATCTGTTCTCCAGAATTTTCCGAATTTTTTAAGACCAAGGATACCAAAAAAAAATAGAAAAACGAATAGGTCAAGAAGGTAAAACCGCGATGTGGTTGTCCAGCGCACTCAGGCGCACTTCGGCATCGCGATCGAAGCACACGAACCCCGCCTGGCGGCAGTGCATCCCCCTAAAACGTCGCGGCGCCCGCACGAGCATCGATCCCGGGCGAAGAGAAGCCGTCTCTCGTCGCGAGGGAGAGATACTGACCTTGAGCTTGTCGTAGGTCGAGCCAAGTTCGAGCCGATGCACGAAGGGGTTGAGGATGTCGGCGCCGAGCGAGGCCGCGTCGGCTTCGTCGACGTTCGCTCGCTGGTTCCTCGCGTCTCCGTTCATCCCGGCGTGGGAAGAGAGACGGGGCGAACTGTCAAACTGACGTGACGTCACACACTGCTCTCCCCGAGAACGGAGAGAGGATTCCCTGGCTCTCGGACCCGAAAAACGTCGTCCCCTCTTGTTCGAGGCGGATACCGGACACGGGGATGAAGATGGGTGGCAGGAAGTACGTAACGCGAAACGTCGTCGTCGGAGTGAGCGAAAACAACACCGACGTAGATCGAGACGGAGCGCTCGCGCACACCCTTCCGGAAGGGTTAACGGTCGACGTTAGACTGGCGCTATCCGGACACGCGCCACCGCGCCTCCTCCTGCGAGCGGACAGGCGAGCGAGCGCCGCTATCGGGGAGTCGAGAGTGATGCCGACGACCTGGTTTAGCGCTCATCGCGCTGCCGCACGGCTTGTCCGCTCTCTGTCAAGAAGGCTTCTTGCGCCTTGTGTTTGTATTCGCGCGCCATCTAATTGCTAGTTTGTTAAAAGGAGGCTTTAATAATCCATGACGTCACTTAAAATTTATTTTGGAAATAGATTTTTATATTTTACAATTTTTTATTTATTTATTATTATTGTCACTTTTTTGAAAGGAAGCTTTAATAATCTCGTCTAGGTAAAATTCCTAATGACATATCATGATGACGTCACTTAAAATTTATTTTGGAAATAGATTTTTATATTTTACAAGTTTTTATTTATTTATTATTATTGTCACTTTTTTGAAAGGAAGCTTTAATAATCTCGTCTAGGTAAAATTCCTAATGACATATCATGATGACGTCATTTAGAATTCATTTTACAATTACTTTATTATTGTCATTTTTTAAAAAGAAAGCTTTAATAATCCCGTCTAGGTAAAATTCCTAATGACGTCACTTAGAATTTATTTTGGAAAATAATTTTTTTATTTTAGAATTATTTATTTATTCTATTGTGTGTGTGTGTTCATGCGTATCCTAACAACTCAACTGACGTCATTAAACGTCAAAATGACGTATAATTGCTACTGGGGTATCTTGTAGGAAGCTTTAACTTTATGATTTCCTTTTATCATTTTTGTATAGAAAACTTTTAAGTGATGAAAAAATCATTATGACGTCAAACGTTATTATGAGTTTTTCATATTCTACCTGAGTCAAGTAGCAAACTGACGTCATAAAAGTCAAAATGACGTATGTTTGCTACCTGAGACTTTATCTTCTCTCATTAGGTTGGCATTTTATTAATTGACGCTCTCTTCAAATATTAAAATAAAGAAATAATTTTTTTCCTTCAAAATAAATGTGAAAAAAATTTTATTAAATGTATATGGACCAGCAACTTGCGAAACGAAATATTTTTCTTCATTTATTGACGCTCTCTTCAAGTATATTGAAATAATATAAAATTTTTTTTATCAAAACAAATGACAAAAAAGTTTATTAAATATATATATTTGGATCAATAATTTAGAATTTAAATTATTTTCTTAGAAAAAATATTTCGCGGTAATATTATGCGAATCAATAAACGACATTAAATAATGCATAATACTATCACTATTAAATCACTATAATTTTATTATCACTATTTAAGTGATTTTTTATTTTTAAAAATTAACAATTAAATCTTTTTGATATGATTTTTTATGTTAAATATATATGCATACCGTATTTAACTCGCGCTTTATTTGCGATTTCGCGCGCGTCAAACATCGATTTTATCTTTATTAAATATCTACCCTATCCTATGCAAGTACCGTGATCTCCTCATTGCCGGTTGTTACTGAAGAAATACCGATAAACATGCATATTATCCGAGAGAGAAAGATATAATTTTCTTCTTTATTTTGTAAAATAATTTTGTAACTGATAGAATTATAAGACCATCTTTTCACTTTTGGTCAATTATGAAAAGAGATGATATGAAATGATTTCAAGTTCACTATAATGCTGATATAAGAGCAATTTCTTTAGTTTAGCCTTCATTATCCGAGAAACGAATATTAAATAATATATATATAATATACACTTATATTAATATTATATAATATATATTATATAATATTTTATTATATATTTTAATTATTATATATCAAATAAATGTATTTAATATATTATAAAACACTTATATTAATATTATATAATATATATACTATATAATATTTTTATATATTTTAATAAATTATATATAAAATAAATGTATTTAATATAATTATAAAATTAATATATTATATAATAAAAGAGTAAGAAGGATAGAAAGGAGAACAGGAGATTCGAAAGAAAATTCTCATTCGAAATTGCCGTTTGTCAACTATTTTCTGACGATTTTCTGTGCGTTTACGTCAGGAACACTTTATTTTACATATTTACATCTGTTTCTCGAGATTGCATATTCCGCGTTGGTCTATCCTTCTCCTTTTCAACATCATCTTCATCTTCTCTTCTCTCTCTCTCTCTATCACGCATACATGTTACACGCACGCATGCACTTACACTTTTTCGCTTTTTCTTCTTCGAATCGAATAAAAGTTGCACAATAAATTAGAAAAAGAACGTCGTCGACTATGTGTTTAATTAATCGAACAATTCTCCGAAAAAACGGAATAACACTTTATTACTCCTCTCGATCGATCTATCGAATTACCCTTTAACCAGTAGCCCCAAGCTCCCTCTTTCTCCGTTGTTTTCTTTATTTTCGTCATATATCATATATATGCATCGAATATCAAGAAAGACAAGAATTCTCGTTTTATCGAAATTCTTAAAATAACACATTTCGCTGATCGCCTTCAACGTCTCGAGAACCTTGATTTTAATGAATCGATACAAATACAGACACACACATGCACACACGAACAAGCACACACACACTCTCTCTCTCTCTCTCTCTCTCTCTCTCTCTCGATATTTTTATAGAATATCCTTAAATTGCGCCTGTATTACGTATTATGCGATAATTTGCGGACATCCTGCAGCACCCTCGAATTTTTGCTACGATTTTGATATCTTATATATATAGTATATAATTTCGTTGAAGATGTTTTGTCCCTCTGACGCAGAAAAATGATCTTCTTCGATTTACCGGTTAAAGGGTTGCAATAAAAACTCCACGTCTCCGTCTCTACTACGATCGCGAATAATAATTAATTGAGAGATCATAAAAATAACGAAGCTTAGATTTTTACATTTATGTCCTTCTCTATGTGTGACGTGTGAATATACGTATTGTAGACACGGATGCTTCGATCCTTGGATCTCTTCTGTTTGCTTAAAATATATTTTACATCGTATACAAATTCTCTTAAAAATCTTTAAATATCCCGAGTAGCAAAAACCTGACGTCATCAAACGTCAAACTGACGTCGCTAAACGTCAAAATGACGTATGCTTGCTACTGGGGATGCAATTACAGCATTTCTGTGACACGTTGTGTATTTTAGGAGGTTTTTTTAAATTAATTAGTCCTAAAGATTTTGCGTAAGTGGAGACTAAAACATATTATTGGGGACTTGAAGATTAAAGATAAAATAATGATGCAAGAAAAAATATTCTACGTAAAAATCGAAGAGTCTAAGGAATTTTTAAAGTCTTTGGGCGAAGAATCCAAGAATATAAGCATTCAATATTCAGATTATTGGATCCTTGAATCCTTATATCCTAATATATATGTATCATATGTATATGTATGCATGTACGTATGTGTTTATATATGTATTAGGATGTCTTTTACTTGCCTATAAATCATGTAACAAATGTATTATTATATGTGTACGGATGTGTTTGTGTATATATATGTGTGTTCCTCTCTTCTATCTCTTCCTTTCTTTTTTTTTACGTCATATATATTCGAAATATTACTCCGTATATCCCTTTACTTGATCATTTACGTATAGTTTAATGCCAACGTTAATCTTAAACATCGACATGTACAAATCACTGAACGCGAAGCACAATTAAGGGACACCCTAATACGTGTTTCGTGTGTATTTGTGTGTACATGTGTAAATATATATATATATTTTTTTTGGAAGTGGAATGTTCGCATTATTGAGGTATATCTACGTTCAAGCGTTCGAATATTGTCCGTTCCTCGAGAAAGAACTTATAGAAAATATGCTCCATATGATTCGGGAGCCAGTTGCCGTTTCTGATTTTTTTTTTTTTTTTTTTTTTTTTACGCTTTTACTAATTGTAAAACGCATATGTATATTCAGATCGCACCACCCTTCGAGAAGACGAAGAATACTTTGAGCGAATAGTGCCTTTTTCTCTTCTTCTCTCTCTCTCTCGCTTTGTTCCTATATTTTTTTCTCTTTTCTATCTCGAAGCATATCTCGAAGAATCGTGCTTTCTGCAATCGTTGTTTCGAAATGTGCGAATCCGAAATGAGATAAACAGTCCTAAACGTCACTGAAGCGAAACTAAGATCGAACTAATCGGATATGAAAAATGAAAGATTTTATCAGTAATTATATTAATAATAGGCGGAATTAATTAAAAGAGATATTATCGCCATTTATATTATTAAAATGTTCCCTTATTTTTGGATATTTTTGTGATATTTTTTAATTGTTGGTTCGTTATATATATATGTGTGTGTATATATATCATTCATCGTTTTTTCGTTAGTTTGAAGAGTTTTATTTTTATTCTTGCGTCGCGCATTTTGACTTCAGCGACGTCACGGACAGAGAAATCTCTTCACGATGAGACAAACATGTAAGGAATGTTTCAACGAGCATAAAGCAGATATTTCAATATAGCAACATAGATCAGATCGTCGCAGTTTTTTCAAGAACAGATCGTTAGAAAGTCAACTCGTGAATTATTTTAGATCTTGAATATAATATTTGTTATTATCTTATCATATGAAATCCTTGAGCCTTGAAATCCTTGGATTCTTGGACCCCTTAAATTTTTTGAGATCCTTGGACTCTTTAGATCCACGGATTCAGCGGATTCGTTCGTTCATCTGGTGCTCGAAGCGAGGTTTTTTTAGCCGCATATTTTAATTGGGCCATCCGGAGTGTACTGCGTGTCCCAAAAAGAGGGATTAGTACTTTTGTCTCAAAAGTAAGAGTTCTCCCCAATCCGTCCTCTGTAAGATAAAGGCTAAAAGATGGGAAATTAAAGAATTCAAGAATTACATATCCAGTTTCCTAAGTTCGCGATCTCCCTTTTTTCTTGTTGGATCCGGAGATCGGGAATTATATCCCAGGTAGTAAACGTACGTCATTTTGACGTCGTGACGTCACAATCTAACATCGCGGTGAACACCAAAAGGAGCCTTCCAGATCCCAGATAGCAAGTGTATGTCATTTTGACGTCGAATAATGTCATCAGACATCAAAATTAATTTTGACGTTTAATGATGTCATTAGACATCAAAATAATATTTTGACGTTTAATGACATCAGTTTGCTACTTGGGAGAGCAAGCA